GTATGCGGCTCTAAATGGGTCTTACAAAAGGTCACACCACAATCCAGGCAGGATTTCAGGCCTTTCAGCTTCACTCCAGTGCAGATGTCACAAAGAATCTCAAGATTATCAGGACCACTTTTCTTCTTGAAGTGGTCCACAACCTCTCTCAGTGTTGTATTGATCTTCAGTTCAGGTCTCTTGATGAATGTCTCTTTACATAATGGACATTGATAATGTTGACTGTTGTCCCAGTACTGTGTAAGGCAGATTTTACAGAAGTTGTGTCCACATGCAGTGGAGACTGGATCAGTTAATACATCCAGACAGATAGAACACATGAACTGATCTTCAGACAGGAAACTGCTGGAGTCTCACCCAGCTGTGTTTGACAGATCACGAAGAAAAAATGTAGGGAAATATTAATTTATTCTATAATAATATAATCTGTTGGTTACAAATATAAAAGCAATAAATATTAACATTTTAAAAGTCAGAATGATCTATAGGCATTATTTATAAATACTGTGAACCTGAAGTTAAGAGATCTCCCTCTTATCAGCTTTGAGTGTCTTCATACTTTCAGTATAATGCTACTCTTTTAGCTTTAAGATGACTAAGATTGTTTAGCATTGATGATTTGAGTGAATATGTGAAGACTACATTATTTTTATTTTGAGTATGACTCCATTTGTTTATGTAAAATATCTACCACAAAGAATTATAAACCAACACAATTATTTAACGATTATTTAACACTGAACCTGTAAAAACGTGAAAACCAATTTGGATTTACTGGATACATAGTACACAATACACAAAAAATAAACTTACAGGACAATGTAGTTAAATACACAGACATATTCCTTGTTTTTGTGTGCATTATATAACTTACACATTTCTAGTTTATCCATACTCTTTCTTCTACCTCCTCTTGGTTGTGGTCAGGAAGATTCTGCCATGTATTTTCTCCTGCACTTTAACTCTTTTTAGAAAATAAAAACAGACCACTCATTTCACACATTTAACATCATAAGGTATTACTGATTACTGATTTATCACAAAATACCTGCCAGCTCTGTAAACTGTAATATACACACTGCTGTGAAAAAAATCTTCACTCCATCTAAATTTCTGAAGTAGTGCACATTTTTTACATCTTATTTGATCAGATTTTATTTTAGACTGTAGTAGTATATGGTATATTTAATTTATTTGGTGTGCAATGCATCAATTATTCTATATACAGGTGTGGAAAAGTATTTGGAACTTTAATGCAATCAAATTAACAGGTTAGTCAAGATTAGCTGTTTGAGTGCATTGGTTGACAAGCAGCCCTGATTTGGGTCCGCCCTTCCCAGTATAAATCTAACTTTGGCTCTATTAATCAGATTGAATCTGACAGCCCATAGGCATATCATGTCATGAAGAAAAAAAATTCTAAAGACCACTGCAAAAAAGTTGTTAAAGCTTTCATTTTGGAAAAGATCACAACGATATATCTAAGAATCTAGAGCTCCACCAAACCCTGATCAGAGCCATATTGTCCAAATTGAAAGTTTGGAACAGTTGTTCATCTTTGCAGGAGGGGCCATTTTGCCACAATCTCTCCCAGAGCAAGGTGAGCAAATCATTCAGGAAGTCACAAAGAACTTAAAAGCAGCATCCAAAGCTCTTCAGGCCTCTCTTTCTGTGGCCATGGTCAGCATTCATTACTCTACAATCAGAAAGACACTGGGCAAAAATGGGATCCACGGCAGAGTAGCAAGGTGAAAACCACTGCTCACTAAAAAGAAGATAAATGTTCATATCATGTTTGCCAAGATGCACCTGGATGATCCTCAAGAGTTCTGGAACAATGTACTTTGGACAAATGAATAGAACCTAGAATCAACACTGGATTTTACAGTAAGAACCTCACACCAATGTCAATCACAATGGTGGCAGCGTGATGGTCTGGGGACGTTTAGCTGGACCTGGACACTTTGCTCTCATTGAAGGACCCATGAATTCTTTACCAGAGAATTTTACAGGAGAATGTCGGGCCATCTGTCTGTGAACTGAAGCTGAAGTGCAGTTAGACCACTGAGATGTTGTGGCAGAGTGCAGTTTGTGTGAAAGGCTACAAACATAGCTGAAATAGTTTTGCAAGGAGTGGTTGATCAATAACTTTAGGAAGTGTTCAGTTGCAGTTATTGCTGCTAAAGGGGTGTAACAAGTTATTAAATCTAAGGGAACAATCACTTCTTCTACCCAGTGGAATGTATATCACATTGTTGTGTTCTTTGTTCACTCAGGATCCCTTTTATGCATTATTAGATTAGGGTTGAAGGTCTGGTGACATTCATTGCTAAAAATTATGCAACAGTGCTTAAATTCAGATGGAGCAAAGACTTTTTCACAGCATGGGGTCAACATAGATAAGGTGTTTTTGAAACTATTAAACCTCTTTTCTTCCTAATACTGTAATGGAATAAACTGATCATTCTCACAGTTCTCAAGTCAGTAACTGGAACTGTCATTCACACAGTCTCACTGTTTATTTGATTGTATATGGTTCGCTCAAAATCCACCACTCTCCATCTCTACATACAGACAACAGAACCCAGTAATCTTTAACCACGTTCACTTAAAGTAGCTCACAAGCTTAGCATAAAATATCATTGTGTTTTGTGTTAGAGCGATGTTCCCCTTACATAACTTCGTTTGCTCAGTTCAGTTCACTGTGTTAAAGCACACGCTTCTCTTAATGTCACTTCTCAGTTATTAGTGGAATGGGTTAGGCTGCAACTGGATAGTTATAAAGTGTAAAACAAATTAAGTAATGCCTCCGCTTTCGAGCAAAAGACTTTGAGCGCGCGCTCCCGTGAGGGGGTGCATCTCGCGGCAGGGCCACTTCCTATGATATTCAAGGTTCATGAAATGATTGCATTCTTTTACATTAAAAATGTTCAAGCATTTATAAACTATGATTTTGCTCAAATGCTCCATATCAACCCATTAATTTTGGACTCACTCGGCAGCGCCTTATAGCGTTTGAGAAAACCGGAAGACATTGCAGAGCGGTAATTCTCCTTCCTACAAATTCTCTGGCTAAACTACAGCTGACATACATTAACGCTACAGGTGGTTAGTATTCAGGTGAACTGGAGTTGATTGGTGAATCGCGGACGTTCACGGATCATGTCAAATCAAATCAAATCAGATTTATTGTCACATCACAAGAGTACAGGGACACAGGTGAGTGAAAAACTTGAGTGCGAGTTCCACAAATTATGCAGAGAACAGTATTTACAACATAGATAAACAAAACTATAGATAGGATAGAAGAATAGATAAAACCAATTTAACTAAAATATATACATATAATCTTAACAATAACTTAAAAATAATAATATTGCACCGAGACATATAATATTGCACTGGGAATGTAGGGTGGGTGTAATCAACTATATACTATATATAGTAATGGATATTACAGTGCTATGTAGATGTGCAAATAATCACACTAGGTGTGGAGGTAGAAGATGGTACAGTAGGTGGCAGAGTATTTAGTAAAGTGCAAGGTACAGGAAGTTAAGTGGAAGCGCAGGGGGAGAGTATTGTCTTTGGATAGGTATTCAAGGTCCAACTATGCAAGTAAAGTGCGGGAGTACAGTGGGTGCACGTACGTGTAATGGGAAGGGTTGGGCTGGGCAGAGCAGTGATTACTGGCTGTTCAATAGCCTGGTTGCATGGGGGAAGAAGCTGTCTTTGAGCCGACTGGTTCTGGCTTTTAAGCTTCTGAGCCTCCTACCACTCGGCAGCTGAGAGAACAGACAGTGGCTAGGATGGGAGGGGTCCTTCATAATCTTCCTGGATTTCCTCAGGCAGCGGCTGGTGTATAAATCCAATAGGTTAGGGAGCTGAACCCCGGTGATGGATTGTGCTGTCCGCACCACCCTCTGCAGAGATTTCCTCTCACGAACAGTACAGTTCCCGTACCAGGTGGTGATGCTGCCCGTGAGGATGCTTTCCACAGTGCAGGTGTAGAAGGTCTTAAGGATGCGATGTGATCTCCCAGAGAGTTCTGGGAAATGGAGTCTCTGCGTACGTCAGAGCCGAGAGGATGTGTGACAGTTGTCTTGAAAACATTAGCTCAATTAAGACACATTTTAGCTGTATTTAAGCTGATCATTTCACACAGTAAAGCAAAATCTTACAAAAATACATTTCTGAAAAATACTAAAGGTATGCGAATGTGGAAGCCTTCTCGCTAGTGGTCAGAAACAGCTTACCGCCCAGCCTGAGGTCTGACCAGACTGGCTGTATAAGCGTTCCTGTGTCTTTAAGTATGACTCATGTGTTGCTAGGTAAACACAAGATGAGTAGGTTTGAGAAAGACAGTCCTCCTCAGTGGCTGCTAACAGAGAGAGGATGAATTTTTTACACTAGCAAACCAAGCAAACAATCATCTTTCAAAACTGTTGTTTTGTTACAGGTATGTTTTTAAATGCTTGCACGTTTGACAGAAGAATGAAGGTTTTAAATATTTCACTCATACACTTTGAGATCTATGTTGTGGAAAAAATATATATGCAGCTTTGCTCCAGACTCAAAATTAAAATAAAAGTCAAAAGACCAGGATTGGCAGCAAACGAGCATTGATCCTGAATTGGTCCAGGGGCAAGAAGGGGTATCACCTGGCTTCTTCTTGCCCCTCCCCAGTAGTTCAAACCTTTTGATTTGTACACCATTATCTCCAAATGTCACAGTCACCTCAAACACCCATATTTCCAAGCCATAGATTATTTCTTTAATTAGTTTTTCACCTCATTATTCACGTCATTATTAAAGTAATCATTTTTTTATTATAAAAAATTCTTCCCTTATTTCCAAGCCAAGAATTAATGCATTTTTGTAAGTAATTACAGGCCAATGCCACACTCAGGCCTAGGCCTTTGAGCTTTATTTACTTTATCCATTTAATGTGTGTGGTTTCAGTTAAGTCTCTGCTAGATATGCGCTTTTCCTTTTCAAAGCCATTTTAAACAGTCTCACTGTGTTTGTGCCCGTCCAGGTCGCAGCCTTTGATGAGGCCTTCTTGGCACACACCAATACACCACGTTGCCCCACACTCAAGGTCAGTTACACATACACTCTCTCTCTCTCTCTCACACACACAGTGAGAACTAACCATACACAGATAGAGCCATACAGCACAAATGAGTAGTTATAATTAAAGTCATCTATTACTTAAACAAATTTTGGAAACTCTTTTACATAATCAAAAATTCTCCCCAATCTACCAGTTTAATGTTCTTTGTGGTGGGGGCTTGGTGGTGATCTGGTGAAGAGGAATTTCCCTCGCAGGCAGTGAAAGTGAAACTGAAAGAAAATGAAACTCAGAAGAAGCTGAAGCTTATATGGGTAAACCTTTCGCCCGACATCAGTTCAGGGGAGGGCAGTGAACGCTCTCAGTAGCGGTCAGCTAACCGTAAAACGAAGACAACTGCTTTTCTTTGAATGCGCTGGACAGCGAGTGTTTGAGGTTTAGGCGCCTAAGCGCAGTTTGGCCATCGCAGTCTCCTCTGCAGTTCTCTCCGGTCAGTAACCATGCGAAATGTTCTGGTTTTCGTTCTAACAGTATGTCTGGACTTCATCATCATCTGCGCGCTGGATTTTGTAGGCACACACCTGAGATCTCGGGGAAAGAGTTTGGACGGTAGTGATAACCTGCTGAGACAGTGGCTGGAGTCAGTAGTGCGGTGTGTCTTTCTGTACGGAGTCCTTCTCCCGTGCGAGGATGCTAAAAGGCCGGTGGTGAAGCGATGGCTTTTAGCTCACTGTTTTATAGGACCGGTGTGGGAAACGGGTCGCTTAACTGTTTTTGGAACCTTTCAGCTGGCGAAGGTTGACACATGGCTGGTCGGTAGTGTCGCTGCTGCTCTGGGATGCTTATTTTGGGAGACACTGTTGCCTGACAGTGAGGAAAGCAACGGAAAAGACAAGAAGCAGAAGGCTCGAGTCCTCTTCATGAGAGTGGTCCGTTTCTACAAGCCTGACTACCTTCTTCTGATCGGGGCGTCTGTGTTTCTAGCCTTAGCTGTGCTCTGTAAGTATTACGTTCATTTTGGTTGTTTGAATAATCAGTGAGTGAAGCATCCGAGCTCAGGTCCTATTGTTCTTCAGGTGAGATGTTCATTCCACTGTACACTGGAAGGCTGATCGACATCCTGGGAGCTGAGTACCACCGGGGTGATTTCCAAACTGCAATAATATTCATGACGTTGTTCTCTTTTGGAAGGTCAGTAAAATAAACTGGACACAGTGTGTGGTATTACCTGTGTTCCTGTAGAGTTAAGCAGCTCTGTATTCACTACACAACATGCAGTAGCCCGGGGTGTAAAGAGTACTGAACATCCCTACTCTAGTACAAGTACTGTTACTGTAGTGATAATTTACTCAAGTACAAGTAAAAGTGTTAGTAAATAAAATTACTCAGTAAGATTAAATAAGTAGTTAGTTGAAGAACTACTTAAGTACCGAGTTACTTAGCTACTTTTTCATATTTCTGCTGTCACAACCCAAACATATTTCTGAGCTGACTCGGCTACATCATTAGAAATAATCTGTACAGAAAAACACTAAAGCTAAAGTTCTGAGAGCTGAGACTGATCACAGTCCGCTCTGCTAGTGCACATTTACACACCTTTCTGTGAACTGTGTAAGCAACAGGGTTTACATTAAACTGCATGCATTTCACAGTTAAATGATTAGATAAGATGTCCTTGTTTATCTGTTTCCAACAAAGTATTTTCGAGTCCCTGAAAAACTGTGTAGAGGGTGTTAGTGTTTAATTAAGTTAATTTAAGAGAAAAAAACTGAGTCAAAATTATGAGTAAATTGCTTAATTAATAATGTAATTTTAGTGAGAGTCCTGCTGCCCATCAGCTCCCTAAACACTAGCTTACATAAACACATTCACAGCCTTCAAACTGTACATTTCCACTGATATCTGTTCAGAACATTTCTACCATTAAAATTAGCAGCAGCATAAGCAACTTACCCAGCTTTGATTTTACTGTAATATATTTCACTAATCATGCTGATCACTTCACACAGAACCAGACGTTATTACTGCATTTCACAGTTAAACAACTACACAGCTTAAAGACAAACACCAAGGCAGAGAGAGAGAGAAAGAGAAAGAGAGAGAGAGACAGAGAGAGGGCGGGGAGGTTGGGAGGGATCAGATCAGGCCAGTCAACAACGGCGCAACAGAATCACTGCTCAGAGTTTATGAAGATCCTGTATTAGACCAGATTTCTTGTATCAAATGACCGTTTATCTCCAAAACAGCAGCTAAACTAGGCTGTATAAACAGGTAAACTGTAGTCTGTGGGCGACACCTGTTAACTAAAGTAGCTCACAGGCACTGTAATAAAATATACGCAGCAGATTTCAAGTTTAATAAACAGAATCATTATAAAGAAAGAAAACCGTAAACACGGTACCTGTTTAGCTCAGATCAGCTAGCTCAGCTAATGCTTCCTCAGGCTGGAGTCGAATTGTGAGAGCGGATCTCAGCAGGTTTCGTGTTTGGCCGCTGATAATAACGCCATTTTCTTTAGTTTGTGTGAAAATAAATACAGATGACTGTTTGGATGTGGTCTGTTCCTTGTTTGAGCTGGTTAAGGTCTCCTCTGTCCTTCTCCACTAAACTGGACATCTCTGTAGTGTTTTTAAGGCCGGAGCTGCTGTTTTTGATTGGTGAATCTTATAAATTTAGCCACCCTTCGTTCATATTGGTTTCTAAGCTGATACGCTCATAATTTATTTTTGCTCTGTAACGTTATGAAAATTAAAGTAGCGAAGTAAAAGTATTTCATTAAAAATTAATTCTACTCAAAAAAGTACCGTTACAGGGAAAACTGTACTCAATTACAGCTTAACCAATAAAGCTTTCTGTCTTTCTTCAGCTCTTTCAGTGCAGGCTGCCGAGGAGGCCTCTTCATGTGTGCTATTGGGAGCTTCATTCGTAGAGTGAAGCTTCAGCTCTTCGGCTCCCTGGTCAGGCAAGAAATTGGCTTCTTTGAGGTTACAAAGACAGGTACACACTTACATGATGCTCTGAGATTTCCTTCCCCCATGCTTAGACTGCTCAAGACCCAAAGACTCACTTCTGAACACTTGATAATGTTTAAAGCCAACATGAAATCAAAATTGACCCCCTTACCTTGTCAATTCATGTCTCTGGTCATATTAAGTGTGATTACTCATATATCATTTAAAATTTGGTTTAGTGGCATTTTTGATTGAAGTGTAGTGAGTATTTTAGTAGCCACAAGCCACTAAAATAGAGTCTTTGAATGGAATCTGCTTTCTTGTGGTGCTGACACTGATTGTAGCATGAAAGTCATTTTATGATATTTCATGTGCTTTTAAACTCTTGTTACCATAGAGATTTACTCCCTAAGCTGTGTGACATGGCCATGAACAGCACATAAAGTGTATTTGCAATGTTGCAAATTTTCCTGCAGGTGACATCACATCCAGACTGTCCACAGACACCACTCTGATGGCCCGAGCTGTAGCCCTGAATGTGAATGTTCTTCTGCGGACACTGATTAAAACCATAGGCATGCTATACCTGATGTTCAGCCTCTCCTGGAAGCTGACACTACTGATGCTGATGGAGACACCTTTGACTGGCCTGTTACAGAACATTTATGACACACATTATCAGGTACTGACCAAACAGACTTAGATATAAACATTGTCAGTGTGGATGTCCAGCACTTCCATACTAAACACAAAGCTTCAGTTCGATGTCTCATATATTTGTGAGTGGTGAAATGGTTAATGGTTTAAGACATTTGTCCACCGACAAAAAGAAACAATGCCTACCAATGTCCAAACAAATACTTGCGTGAAAATGTAGCAGCAAGTGATTTCATTCGCAAAATTCATGAGAGCTACTTTGGCTTGCCAGTCTTTCCATCATAGCACTGATTCCTCCAAAGAAAACTGCAACATTTGTATTTGGTGATCTAGAGGTCATCATGATCTTTATTTCAGCAAAATACCTGCCACAGAAGTCGGTGGGTGGTTCTGTTTCTGAGACTCTTATTACCTCTTATCTTTTAAGTAAGATGCTGCTTTGTTTCATAATTTGTGTAAAGTATTTACAGTGAATGAAGTATAAATATTTTAATTAATAATTTCTAGAGATGGCACAATACCACTTTTTCCTTTCTGATACCAATGCCAATATCGAAACATTTTTCTCTCCGATACCTGATCCAGCATATTCCACTGCATTTCTGCATGGTATTAGATTGGTGCCAGCTCCAATAATTACACATATGAAAAGAAAGTAAGAGTGTCATTTTAAACTGACTGTAGTTATAAGAGTAATAATAAAATATCCAGTGGTTAAACAGATTAATAAAAAACTCAAGATGCTGCACTTCAAGAAGGTATAAAGCTTACATACCTCAATTAAAAAAAATGGGATAGATGTAAAACATTATTTCTATAAACATTTTTAAACATTACTTCCATAAGCAGTCAGAACATTTAAATCCACTGTGCATTAGTCCATTTCAGATGAGCTTGAGCCTGGAGTTGTTGGTGTATTTCCGGACTTGGTGACATGGCTTCCGATGTGCATAGTATAGTCTTGACTTGTATTTGTGGATGAAGCAACAAACTGTGTTTTTAGGGGTTATGAAGATATGCAAAATTCTAAGTTTGATTTGATACAGTATTGTGGTGTCCTGATACAATACTTGTATCAATGCAGCAAAAACAAGTGCCTGAATATATGTTAATGTGTTAATGTTTGCACCATGCACAAAGGACAGATAAGGATGTATCGATGTACATATGTTCAATTTAGAGATGATGTTTTTTTTTCAGAGGTCAAGATTCAACTTGATTTATTAATATTCAGTGCACTAAAAGTGTCATGTTACAGGGCTATAATTATAAACTGAAAAGATTGGTTTAATTAAAAGCCATAGATTTTATAAGCTCTTCAAAAACACAGAACACAGCCCAGTCATTTGACAGGTCCATATCATAAGCCGTGCCCATTTTACTCTGATATAAGGCACTCGGATACTTAGTTTTGATCATTGACAGTGGTTTTCATGAAAGACAGAAAATGAGAGACACTCTGAAGGGGAACAGGGAGAAAACATTAATGATACAGTTTTACATTTTGATACAGTGTTTCAAATTTGATTTTTCGATACATATTGAAATCGTTACAACCTTTTATTGAGAACCATTTGTCAAAGTATTCTCGAGCCTGTGTGATGATTTATATCACAGAAGCATGTCGGTTTTTAATGCTGTGCTGTCTGTGGGGTTGAAGGTTGCAGGCATTCAGTTGTGGTTTTTGGCGTTGCCCTTTTAGAGACATTGTTCTGGTTTCCCTGAAACCTTTGCTGATATTATGCACCATAGAGATATCTAAAATCCTTGCAATCGCTCATCAAGGAATGGTTTTTTAAACTGCTGGATTATTCACTGTTTGTGTGGATTTACAAATTACTCGTGTTTTTTTGCATTTCACATACTGTCCCAACTTTTTTGGAATTGAGGTCTGTATTTTTCTGCCATTACTGAATATGACTTAGTGACCACATATTCATGTTGGCAGTGATGCTTAGCAAGAGTCATATGATGTCAGTAAGTTAACAATGATAAGTTATCATACTGCATACACTGACCTATGCAAAAAAAAAGTATTGTTGCCATACCTTGAGGAGATTAACATGCATCGTATGGTTCAAAAGGACCAGAGAAGTCATAACTTTGGGAATACAAGCAGTGGGATGAAAACCTAGGATGTGGCGCGTTTGTGACGTTTACCATGTAATTTTCACAAGCGCCTCTGACCCTCTGAATGAGTGGTCTCTAGCATAAACAATACACAACAATTTTGCTGAATGCATTTATACTGTCTGCAAACTGCTAGGCAGCTACAGAATGCCTTTTACTTTGTAAAGCTTTCAAAACTAGCTAAGAAACAGGAGAAAATGGCTTGTTTATGTTTATTGTAGAGACTCACAAAGGAGGTGCAGGACTCTATGGCAAGAACCAACGATGCTGCAGGGGAGACGGTGTCAGGCATCAGGACAGTAAAGAGCTTTAACTCAGAGCAGAGTGAGTCGTGTCGTTATAATGACCGGTTGATGGACACCCATAATCTAAAGACTCGGCGGGGCACAGTCAGGGCAGTTTACCTACTGGTGAGACGGGTGAGTATGAAATTAAGCCCCTCTGTTGTCTTTGTAATTCAACTCTTTTATTTGATTATAATTATTTATTTCCTTTAAAGGCTAATTTCTGCTTTATTTAATTGTTAAATTCATTCAGAGTGGTTTGATGTGAAATTCACCATTCTGGAAAGACCAAGTCAGAATTGTTCCATTTGCCTTTTTCATTATGCCTTAATTCTAATTTCTGAGTAAGGCTAGAGTTTAAACCAGTGTATGCATTCAGAGTATTCGCAGTATTAAACACTCTAGCTTTTTGATCATAACATTATTGAAAGATTGCTAATCTCAGGCCTCTCTTTCCCACTGAGTGTATTTGTATGTGAAACTGTATGTCTATGTATGTGTGTCATTTTCAGCTAGTGGGGTTGGGAGTGCAGGTGGCTATGCTACACTATGGCAGGCTGTTTATCCAGTATGGACAGATGACCACAGGCAGTCTGGTCTCATTCATCCTCTACCAGTCAGACCTGGGGGACAACATTAGGGTATGTCTACCTTTGACCGTACCTAAAGAATAAAGGTGGGAGACTTCGGAAGCTGCAAAACCTTTATTATAACAACCTGCAAAACCTTCTTTTGCTATACCTCTCTCAGACCTTGATCTACATATTTGGAGACATGCTGAACTGTGTGGGTGCAGCCGGGAAGGTGTTTGAGTACCTGGACCGCAAGCCTGAAGTGAGCACTGATGGGACGCTTCAGTCAGAGAAGCTAAAGGGACATGTCAGCTTTCAGAAGCTCAACTTCTGCTATCCAACACGGCCTGACCACAGTGTGCTAAAGGTACAGCTCTTAGATCAGCTGATGTTCAGTTAACCTGTGACAAGATCACAGGGCAAAATATTTGATTTGCTTTTTTTGTATTATCAGTTGAAACACACTTGACTAATTTCTGACAGCTCACCTTAAATAAGATTCATAAGCATTTCTTATGAATAAGATTCATAACGCTGTTGTTGGAAGAAAACCTTGTATCTCCAAAATGACAACTTTCCAGGAAAAGGAAAAAACCTACTTTACTTTTAATGTAAGTCAATGGAACCAGACATTTTTCCAAGTAATTTTGGGCCGTTTCTTTTTGTCCATTCTTCATGAAATTTACACACTATGTAAAGAGCCACAGGCTTTTTCAAATCATGTTAAAAACTGAAAAACAAAAATGGAGATACGAAATTTTCTTCCGACAACAGCAATAAGAAAGTTTCATCCTCTTCCTGTTACATACATGAACATAATAAACATGCTAATATGCAATGAAGCACATCTTGTTACAAAAAATATATCAGTTCATGTGTAATCCATTATGAAAAATGCAACGTACTAATGTACTACGTGCTGTTATTTTTGGAATTTAACCATTTTATAGTTTCAAATGCAATTATTGGGAAAAAAACATTAAATTCAATCCTGGATTTTGTTGTTTCAGGACTTCTCTTTGGAGCTAAAACCAGGTCAAATGACTGCCCTGGTAGGGATTTCTGGTGGGGGGAAGAGTACTTGTGTGAGTTTACTGCAAAGGTTCTACCAGCCCCAGGATGGACAGATCTTACTGGACGGACAGCCTCTACAGAACTACGAGCACAAGTATCTGCACAGCAAGGTATGATACTTGTACTTGCATCATAAGATACTGTTGTAGTGTCACTGTGGAACTGCTATTGGACTGCACAAATTTTATTAAAAAATTCTTAACATTTAACGTTTAGATTACATAAGACATCTGAATATGGCATTTTGTATTAATGTGAGCTGTGGAGTTTGAGAAAATGCCTGAAAACCCGCCATAAATTCTAATTTGAGCGTGGCTATTTTAGTAGCAGTTCCTTCATTTAAAACGGGCTTTGCTTGCATCTATTCAGAATGGGTGTTGAATGTAAAGAAACTTTTAGTCCATTCCACATTTGTCTTTGTAAGTAGAAGAGGTTTTATTATGTTATTTTTGTCCACACACTTTTGTTTTGTGAAAAGAAAATCATTTATATTTTCCAGTAATTTGTACTGGAAGGAGGTAAAGACTAATTAAAGTACGGTCTTGAAGACAACTTGATTTTTTGGGTTTTGTTTGTGACCCAGTCCTGCTCTCATATGGACTCAGTCTTGACTTGGTCTCACTCTGATTTGGACTTGGCCTCATTGAATTTATTCATTGTTAGCAACTATTGTATTATATGTTGATCAAAATGGTTGCATTCATAATTATTATCTTTTGCAGATTGCTGTGGTGGGCCAGGAGCCTGTTCTCTTCTCTGGTACAGTAAAAGACAATATTGCCTATGGCCTATCTAACTGCTCACTTGAGAGCATCCAGGAAGCAGCTCGTAAAGCCAATGCTCATGATTTCATCCGTGAGTTACAGAAGGGTTATGACACAGGTAAATACACTGGCTCAGATTTTGAATTTGCTGCATATAACAATTAAATAAGAAAGCACATAAGGTGGCACAGAACTACAAGTGTTGCATAATTTTACCATAGTCTTTACATTGTGATTTCAACAACACTAACTCATTTAACATAGAAGGTAGTCTTAAAAACAACATGATTCTGAAAAAATGCTGTTCAATAGATGTAGGTGAACGAGGAAGCCTTCTTGGTAGTAGTCAGAAGCAGCGCATTGCCATCGCCAGAGCTCTGATCAGACAGCCACAGGTTCTCTTACTGGACGAGATCACCAGCTTTCTGGATGCCAAAAGTGAACAAGCGGTAAACATACACACACACACCCACACCCACACACACACACCCACACCCACACACACACATACTGCACTGTATAATGAGAGAAACAGTGTTACTTGTAATACATGTAACAGATTAAAAAAAACATGTAACATCATGCTTCAAAATATTTCACAGATTCAAGACGTCTTGGCCAACTGCCCCAATCAGACATTAATGGTGATTGCACATAGATTGAAGACCATTGAGAAGGCAGACCAGATCATTGTGATTGACCAGGGGACAGTGCTTGAACAAGGCACTCACCAGGAACTGATGGAGATGAAAGGGCATTACTATAAACTGAAAGAGAAACTCTTTACTGAAGATACTACTAATCTAAGTTAAGATACAAAGCAAAGAGACTGTAGTCTAATGAATATTTTAATGACACGACCTGAGGCACCACCAGTCTATTATACAGCCATAATAATAAAATGTTGCAATGGATGTATTTGGCATTGTACACAGTTTCTCATAGTCTTTGGAGTTGCACTGTTGTTTTATTTGGTCAGCAATGAAGCTTAAGTACTTGTATTGCTGAACCTTCTTGTGTTTATTTTCTGCTCTCAAAAACTGTGCTCTGTAAAAAGGAAACATGCTGCATATGCTGAAAAGGCAGTAATGAATTGTTAGTTTCTTCAGTTGATGCGTTGTGCTGTCCTGACAAAAACAGTGTATGTATATTTCCCAATTCCAGGGACATGGGGATTTTGTGCTTGAAATTTTTAATGTCCTTGTCTAAACAAAATGCACTCCTAAAATACAGTGCCTCCCTGGGGTTGTTCTGTAGATTTTGTCAGGTTAACACATGAAATGGCCATAGCGAAAAAGTCCAGGTGCTAAACTGGCCTCCCTGCAGTCCAGAGCTGTCACCCATTGAAAACATTTGGCGCATTACTAAACTAAGCAAGAATGGAAAACATTTCCCTTTTAAAACTACAGCAACTGGTCTCCATATTTCCCAAACACTTACAGAATGCCGAAGAGTTCATGCATCACAGTTGTAAATATGACACTGTCCCAACTGTTTTTGAAATGTGTTTCAGATATCAAATTCAAAATGGGCTTATATGTTTCAAAAAATTTATTTTGACATGTTGTCTAGTTGTATTTTGAATTAAATATGGGTATAAATGATTTGCACAGCATTGCATTGTTTTTATTTACATTTTGCACAGTGAAATGGGTTTGTACAATTTACAAAGTGCAAATAAATGTTAAGTGGACCCGATAAAATGGACAATTAGAATGAGTGTTGATACAACATATCTAATAGCTAGTGGTCAGTGAGCGTAGGTGTTTACATGTGTCTGTTTTATGCTCGGGTTCTGAATATTAATGAATTATCTGACTCCTTTTTAAAGCTTGGCTTTGTGCATCTACCACAAAAGTGTATGCCCATGCCATCTGTGCACACTTGGCTTCACCACTCTGGAAAATCCCTTGTACTCACTCTCTTTCACTTTCTTTTCACATTTTCGTTTGATCCTTCCGCATGTTTGCTGTAGCGTCTGATTTGGCTGTGGTTGGTAACATGCCAAAGCCAAGCCTAGTATTTAATGTCTACTGAGGAGGGGGATTTAGATTACAGAAATAGGCTCTCTGAGACTTTGTGCTCAACAATTCAGCAGCACACCACAGTCACACCTGCCCAACTAGTTACACAGGCCAAAACGTCGTAGCCCAAACCCTGCTCAGGGTTCATCTGAGGACTTCAAATGTTCATTAGTTCACTATAAAGTTATGGATGCAATGTGTCAATTTCTTTTCTGTAGAAAAAAAATTGGACACTAGTATTTTTATTCAGCACTGGCGTTTCAATATTAGCTCTGTAGTGATGCTAGTCTATTAATGATGTATCTGCCAGCCTCTGAATTTCAGATATGTATTCTGATGGAAGCTTCATTTTATGCTCTTCCAAATACATTATATTTCCTGCCTCTTCAAATGTATCCTTGATCCAGTTTGTCTCTTTATTATGAAACAAGTACCCATTACAAGAATGACAAACTAATTTACCTTAATGTGTATGCAGTAGGATCGCCTGCCAGTTCCCTGGTTTGACTCTGATATTCCCCTAAAATCCCTAAGGGTGTAACACAAAGCAAAAAAGGTGTCAAAAGTCCCTTCATTATGTGTATGTTGAGTTATTAGACAAGCTGAGACTGTCCTCAATTTGGGAGACAGTAAGTTATTTACACATATAAAACTGCAAAAAACATGGCTTAAATTTCTCTGTCGGAGAACCTCCGGTGCCAGGCCAGATCATTTTAGATTAAAAAATAGATAAAACAGATCCAGTCTTAAAATCTGATTGGCTGAGCCGCGTTCAAAGCTATTTTAAAATATTCAATGTAAGCACATCCTGACCACCTCACAACAACTGACCTCTGTATTACTGTGCTATTTCACAGCAATCCTTGTGCTGTTAATGGAATAACCTTTGATTGCAATGCTGCTTGCTTGGACCACTGAGTGTACTGATGAAGTAACCTGTTTTTGTTTAAACTGAGGGGCTTACACCTTATTTTCTTAACTAGATCTAAGCAGGTCAGCTAGCCAACAGGCTAAAGGACAGCAAACACAGCAGCAGTACAAACACTCATTTGAAGTGCAAGTCTCTGCAGAATTAAACGGCTGTAGTTTGTAACCATAAGTGTTTCAGTGAATTATGATAGCAGTGATCAGTAATGATTTATTCTGTACAATATTTTATAAAGCACTAATGTTAATGACTGAGTGCTCGTGACCTGATTTGCTGTTGCTGAAGAGAATTGTCATAACATTTTGAAGAGTATCACTGACGTCAAGATTGGATATGATTGGCTTACAGGGATTTGATTGGCCAAGCTGGGTGTCATGCTTACCCCCAATGCCATTTCCTTTGTATTAGAGAGAATCTCTGAACACGTGTATTCAGACCTGAGCTTCAATTGAGCGGCTAACAAGCTAATCCACTGGAATGTTTTCCAGACTACCACAACCTGGCTGAGTCCCAGAAAATGCTCCAGAACGAGTCAGTCCAAGGCCTATCGCTGAAACATACGAGTCCAAGAGAGAGCGGACATTTATTCCCACTTTAATGGATGAATTGAGTGGGTGAGCTACAATGAAGAACAAGGGATGTTTTGCGAACCTCACTTTGGCTGAAAAGTAAGTAGTTAAGCTACATGGGCTACAAAAGTAACATCAAACTGCACCTCTTACTCAAACGATACATTATTAATATTAATTTTATATAAAGTTAAGAAGCAGAACTCGGAGCTAACTCATTAGTGTCTTTAATTTAGTGGCTTTTACTGAACGTTAGCACTCCAGCTATTCACTTAGCATTGACGTTAGCTTTTTACCTCAGAAGAACATTGTGTGTGTGTGTGGTGTGAGAGAGAGAGATAGAGAGATAAGGTGACTTGACAGCTATCAGCAGCAGAGAGTGAGAGGGGAGGCCTTAAACAAACATGACTGCAGTGGTGAAAATAGAGTGAAAATAGTCAAGTCAAACTTGACAGAATGAAAATAGTCAATATTTTTATGGTAGTGTCACTGTGTTTACTATTTACCTAGACGACATCTTGGTGGGGTACGTGGTTTCAGGCTGTTGGCAGCCTGTCATGGTGAACCAGTGGGCATGATGGCACACTTCTCATTTCTTGCCTACTTGTTTGTCCCTGGAAGAACAGGCTTATTCATGATTTTGCTTTGCCATCTACTGCTTTTCTTTGCTGCCATCTACTGGTCATTAAAAGTTGTCGCACTCTGAAAGAGTGAGGACAGATTGAGGGTTAACTAACACAGATTTGTTGCAGTGCTTTTATTTGCCATGTATAAATACTGACATGTTGATACTTAAATCCAGCTATTTAATGATCTGGAGTCAGTCTTCCTTCATCCACTTAGGTAGAGCCACAGAGAGCTGTTTGACTGAGTTGGGTTTTAATTTAGTCTTCATGTCCACAGAACAAGCCTCTATAACACTCCCCCAGTGTCTAGACAAATATGTAAAGGAGCACTTGCCTTCATTATGGCTTCTCAGAACTAGTTTTCCTTTTTGGTAGGTTACCCTCTCCACAGTAAGAAGACAAAGCCTGTGTGTTTGTTTCAGTGATTCATTGTGTACACAGTGTTAAGACTTTGTGTTTATATAAAAGGGGTTGACTCTGGAACAATAGCTCCTTCAATTAACCAATATTAACAGTGATCAGAAATTGTTTAATTGATTAATGGTTAGTTCTAAGTGTTCTTTTTTTTAAGATTTTTTAAAGAGTTTAATGATTTTAAATCAATAATTTGGCTCAGATTGCCCCAGGTGTGGGGTAAATTGATTATGGTACTGGGATAAAAGAAGCTTCTCAGTGAATATGGAGTAATAATCAACTTATGTTGAAACGCTCCAAGAACAATGCACACATTGTAGCTATTATAAGTAAAATGTTAGATTTCACACAGAGAGGAAAAAATATGGTTATGATGCATAGTATTCAGCATCTGTCCACACCAACCCAGATTTCTCCAATAAACACCAACAAAACCAAACGCTGGGTTGGTGTACTATACTATACTTGTGTTTAATAGTTAATAGTCTCTAGAATGTTCTCTATTCACGCTGTTTGAGAACATCATGTGTACTTGGTAAGCAGTGTAAGCTGTTCTTCATCAATCTATTTTTTTGCAGAAAACAGTTTGGAATGAATACTTTACAGCCTTTTAAATCTAGGAGTATTGTGCATCGATCTGGTCTTATTAATGATTTCGCTATCCCAATTTCCCAAATTCCAAAGTAAAAATGCATGAAAGTCATGCCACGAATACATGGGAAAGAGTTCTTCAATGATGCATTTGACTTGCCGAAAACATTTTAATTTAATAATCTAACAGATTGTTAAAAGTGGCACATACCGACAGGTCTAAATTAAAAAACAACAACAAAGAATGTGTTAAATATTTAGCGCAGGTAAATCTTTAGTGTTGATAGCATGACCAGATCATGGTTTTGTAGTCAGGAAGTTCTCATCTGTCTTTGGTAACACAAGTGAAGCCAGAGTACTCAAAGTAAAGTCACCAAATACTATTACTTGCCCAATAAGTGAATCAGAATTTAAACTCTCTTTAAACTCTCTTTGAGGCAGTTCTTTTTGAGGCGAGGATAAAATTAAGCACTATTACATGTTTAGTCTCGCAATACTACAGACTTGCATTCGGACTACATCAAATCTGAAAGTTTCTCACCTGTTTCTTTTAACCTTTCATTAAGAGTTTTTCTGAGTTCTTCATCCAGACTCTTCTGAAGTTCAGACAGAGCATTACTCACAGGCTCTACACTCAGATGAGGGTCAATGCTGATGTCAGTCCAGTTCTTGGTGTGTGGAGGGGTACACAGTGATGGGTAAATCTACAGTCCAGGAGAGAGGAGAAATCCCTCAGCATGGGACAGTGTTGTTGTGTGATGTGCTGCATTGTCATTGAGGAGATAGAGGGACACTGACCTGTAGGAGGTGGAGGTGGTCCTCAGTGTGTAAGAACTGCTCCAGCTGATTGTCTCTCCTCTTCAACTTGGTGATTTCCTGCTCCAGCCCTTTAATGAGGTCTTCAGCCTGCCTCTCTGCTGCTTTCTGCTTCTCCTCCATCACCTCAAGCAGCTCAGCCTGGCTTCTCTCAATGGAGCGCATCAGAGCAGTGAAGACTTTAACACTGTTTGCAATCTCTTTGTCTGTGTTTTTCTAATTAAAAAGAACATTTCACTTGAATCCCATTATAGTGAATTGGAGCATATGATTAATGCCATTTGATAAACTATATATAAAACACAATGAAGACTCAATATTTATGTAATTACGACATGATGTTTCACTCACTTTTCTGAGCTCTACTGAGTGTTTGATCTCTCCAATTTTCTTCAGTCTATTGTGTATCAACTGCTGCACCTCTGCCTGTGTCTCTGCCAGATGTGACTAGGGGCAGAGAGGAAAACAATCGACTGCTTGCAGAATTATGATTGACATAGCCAATGACAGTCATCTCTAAATGCTATTTCCTCCATCAAGCGAAGGAAAAACTTCACTGAACTACTTAGAATGAACCTGCAGTGAGAACAGTGGTGGCCGTAAATTAGTCTGAATTATTAGATTAAGACATGGAAATGTGTTGCTGAGGTACATATTATGCCTGACACAGGCAGAGTGGTTGTTTTTGTTTCATTCCTGAAGCTGAATAAAGTTTGTATTAATCTATGTGGAAGACCAAATTCACAGCTCAGACAGACATATGCTGGCTCTAAGGTCAGTTAAACATTACCTGGGTTACTGTGATTGCTAACATGCATTTTTAATATGATGTCTTACTGGAAATAATGTTACATAACAGAATTAAGATCAGTTCGCTAAGCTAACCAAATTAGTTTTGCTTATTTTAGCTGCTGACAATGGGCGACCATCAGCTTGCTGAAAAGCTGAACATGTACTACTGTAAGGTTTGAAAAACGCAGCACAACAAACTTCTCCAGCTCCAATTCACATGCCATTCAAACCACAACACAAACATCAGCACCTCTGAATGCCAAGGTTGTGCACCAGGAAAGCACTAGGCCTAGATGGTGTTTCACCATCCGTTCTGATGGTTTGTGCAAACTAATTTGCACCAGTCTTCACACATATCTTCATCTGATCATCGTAGCTATGTGAAGTGCTTTCCTGCTTCAAATGCTCCACATTAATAGCCATCCCCCAAAAAGCCACTATCACAGGACTGAATGACCACAGACCCATCACCCTGACCTCTGTAGTCATGAAATCCTTTGAGAGACTGGTATAAGTACATCCGAAGGACATCACAAGCACAACATCACAAGTTCCTGTCCTCCCAGTTCCTGTTGGACCCCCTGCTGTTTGTCTACCAGTTCAACGTGTCTGATGCAGTGAAGATGGGACTTATATCACCATATCCTTCAACAACTGAACCAGCCAAGGACATATGAATCTTGGTTTTAGACTTCAGCTCAGCAATTAATACCATTCTTCCATAATGCTCCACAATAAACTCTCTCAAATCAGTGTACCAACATTCCACCAGCCATAGCATTACCAGCTTCCCAACATCCACTTTGTCGAAAAGAAAGCACTGCAGAGGTACATCCTGCAGCAGCTGAAGTTTAACCTTCCTCAAGAGCTGCTGGTTCAGTTCTGTAGAGCGTGTCATCACCTTCTGGTGCAGCTTTGCCACCAAACACCCACAAACTGCAGAACCTTTGTCACAAAAGGCCACTGATATTAATTTACCCACACTGCTTAGTCTGTGCATCTCTAGAACAAGTACGCTGGCAGAGAAAATCATCATTGACCCATCTCACCTTTGTCATCATCTGTTTCAGCTCCTCCTCTCAGGCACACAGCCAAATAAGGGCTAAAGCAATCAGACTTCAAAAATGTTTATTTCCCTACATCTTTACACCACTTATGAACAGTTGTTGCACAGAAACATTGTGTTAATTTATGTACTGTTTCTGTACATAACCCTTAATTTATTTTATTCTATTTTATTTAATGTTATCTTAAGGATTCTACCCCCTACTACGTCCTTTCTGGCTAACGTTCTCTGCACTTTAAATAATATTTTATTCTCAAATGTATATTTGGGTGAATGTCTACAGGTATAGGTATTTGCATGTGTATGACCATATGTTTATGTGGTAGAACTCTTGTATGGATGTTGGTTAGTGCACAAGCATGGTAGAACGCAGGCATGGATGTCTATCACTGTACAAGTGTGGTAGAGCTCTGGCATGGATGTCTGTTACTGTAATAGTGTGGTAGAACTCAGGTATGGATGTCTGTTACTTTAATAGTGCATGGTAGAACTCAAGTGTGGATGTCTGTTACTGTACTAGAGTGGTAGAACTCAAATGGTTAATTGTACCGCAGCTTTCTTATGGAATGTTTTGTAATTTTTTAATCTTAATCTTATCTTTTTTCTAGGTAAAGTTTTATAAGGGGGTCGCACACTGTATAGCGCTGTCGCCTCACGACAAGAGGGGCCTGTGTTTAATTCCCCACATCCTGTGATGGAATGGTGACCTGCCCAGGGAAGTTTCTTGCCCATGGCCCAGTGACTGCTTGGATAGGCTCCAGCACCCCCCATGACCCAGGAGGATAAGTGGCTTAGATTAAGTGTAAGTGGGTGTTATTTATAATAACTTTATCTAAATGAATGTGTATTCTTCATAATTATGTTCAAACAGAAAGATCTCACCTTCTTCTCTGCACTTTCCTCTTCTATAGGAACAGCACTGTGATTCTTGTGGTCTGTTTCAATGCAGAAATGACACACACACGTCTTGTCATATTTACAGAACAGCTCCAGGGGCCTGTCATGTTTCTGGCATATGTAGTCCTCCAGGTTCTCCACTGGGTTGATTAGTTTGTGTTTCTTAAGTTTTCCAACTGTATGCGGCTCTAAATGGGTCTTACAAAAGGTCACACCACAATCCAGGCAGGATTTCAGGCCTTTCAGCTTCACTCCAGTGCAGACGTCACAAAGAATCTCAAGATTATCAGGACCACTTTTCTTGAAGTGGTCCACAACCTCTCTCAGTGTTGTATTGATCTTCAGTTCAGGTCTCTTGATGAATGTCTCTTTACATAATGGACATTGATAATGTTGACTGTTGTCCCAGTACTGTGTAAGGCAGATTTTACAGAAGTTGTGTCCACATGGAGTGGAGACTGGATCAGTTAATACATCCAGACAGATGGAACACAGGAACTGATCTTCAGACAGGAGACTGCTGGAGTTGCGTGCAACTGTGTTTGACAGATCATGAGGGGAAAATGTATGAAAAATTTCTTTAACAAACAGTAACATTCCTTAATGATAGTTATCTTTAAACATTTTTCATACGCACTGTGGCCTCAACCATGTACAGAATGTTTAAGATTTTATTCTTTTCATTTTAAGAAACTGGTCTAAGGAAAAGTGTCTACCACAAAAATAAGATGCCAGCATGTCAAGAGTGCATTCTGTTTACATCATAGATGTCTATGAAAAAAAAAAATCAAGCATAAGCTTCAGTTCTATGCAAGCAACAATGCAAAATTTCAAAGCCATGCTAAAATTAATTTTTTGGTTATGGGTTTTAGACTTTGACCTCTTCAGGTTTTCAATTACATCTTAAATATTGAATGTAACTGCGTACAACACTGAGAATGATATTTCCTTACTTTTGTGCTAATGAATGCCTTCAATAGGTTAATATATTGGAGGACGTACAATATGGTTGTGCAATATTTGATCTTTGAATATTTAATCTTTGAAATGTAATCTTTCAAATCTTAAATCTTAATAATTTTTGAAAAGCAATCTTTTTCTGTCAAATCTATACCTATGCTTCCCTGAGATCCCCAACACTATCTCAAGCTGATTTCACCTCAGTCCCTAGATTCTGCTGCTGGTTTCAATGATGTTCTCTAAACCTCTGTAAGCGTCCTCTCCTGATACACTCATGAGCCTTTTGCTGCAGGAAAATCATTTTGTTGGCTAGTAAGACAGGATGCATTTTGTGTGCCTCTGCAAGATATGGGTATAAAAGATCCCCCAAAAAACAGAAATATAAGAACATATCTCAGGGGGTGTGACAATACGTTGTGAAATTGTGATATTGATAATCTGAAAAACTGTACATTGTCCAATAAATTAACCTCTTGAGAGCAAATATTATTTTTATTGTTGTTTTTATACCTTGTTAATATTTCAGCTATGTTCAGTCATTTTGTAAGCAGTTTAAAACACGATAGGGAAAACTTAAAAAAAATCATAGCTGAAAACTACTTGATGTACAGTTGCAAAATTTTGCATGGCTTCATTAACTGCATTGAAGTTTTTGCTTGAATTTTCATGGAAATGCATGATGTGACCAGTCGCTGTATGTAGGTTTGTGTGGAATAGAACATTCAGTGTCCTGTGTCATCAGGAATGACACTTGGCTCATGCCTGTGACCAAATCACAGCATTGATGTTATTCGTGATTACACACTCCCTCTCATGTCCTATTGCATAGGCATATTTCATGTTTATGTGTCTGTTGTGTAACTTACACTCATCTGGTTTATCCATATTGTGTCCGTCCTCCGCTGGCTGTAGAGAGGAACATAGTAAGACTTTTCTTTTTTGCTCCTTTTAAGTCTTTTCAGCAAGAAATCACATCACTCAGTTTACATACAGTATGATATATCTCTGATCAGTCTATTTAACATGTCATACAGGGAGATTAGGGAGAGTTGTAACATGGGGTAAGCTGTAGCACTCCCAGTTTAATCAATCACAGGCAGATCACTATTGCACACCCTGCTGAGCTGACAGGTGAAGTTGGAAGTCTTTGTGAAACTCAGTGGTAAGACAAGATCATAACTTGGTTAGCACCCATATTACTGTGGATGTTAAATGTTCTAAATGATATGGTCAAAATCAGCAATGTAGTTTAATCTGATATGTCAAATGTATGCTACCTATTGCACTGCTTTCTTACAAATGCATACATGCACATACATTTGCAGTGTTGTGCTTTGAATAATTTGGTATAGATTAAAGGGACACTGACTAGAAAACCCTTTTCTGATGACATTTCAGAAAGTGGACAGGAGGTTTTGAAAACGACAAATGCTTTGGAGTGGATTTTGGGTAGCAGGCTGTTTGAAATATTTTTCCTGGCTTTCCAGCAGTAATGTAAGCCATCTGGCTTCTGGTTTACATTTGCATTCTCCAGCTACTGTAAAATGTTTTGGCATACCTGGGCAAATTACATTTTGTTGATTTTCTAAGTATTTTAAGTAAGGATTTTCTAAGAATACACTTCTGCACATGTGCTAAATTTAAGATAGTGGGAGAAAAATAAAACATAAAATGTGATTATTCAACATTTTACATTAAATTTTTTTCCAAGCCAAAAAAAAAAAAAGTTCACTAATACTTGCAAAAAAATGTCATATTTAATGTCATATGTGTGTGCATATATGTACACACACAGCAGCACAAGTGTGTGCACATGCAACCCTCCATCACTTCCTGTACAGCCCCAAAAATCCAACAGCAGTTATAGTTTTTTAAAACTTCCTTTCGGTGTAAATTTGAATACTTTTTGTATTTATTTCCTGATTTGAATCCTATGAATGTGATTGAGTTGACATGAGGGAAGGTGGTGGGTAAAATAGGCGCCTAAAAAACTTGCTTCCTGAAAGTTTCCGTGGTTCTGTTTCGACCTACCCCACCCTTTGTTACAAACCTCTCTGGTCTCCAACACCTTCCTTCAGCTTTAAACTTAAATATACTGTATCATCTATACTACACTGTTAATCATTTCTAAGCCCAATATCTTCATTATACTATAAAAAGAGAAGAGTTTCACTAACCATTCTCATACATCATAGGTCAGCAACACTGTTTATCAATCATGACTTCCTGCTGTTACTTTGGTATAAATGCTTAGTCTTCACACAAAACTCACCACTGAACTTCTAACAGACAGCAGAACACAGCACCAATCTTTGGCATTGTTTACAGAATTTAGTTCTTAACTTAGACAGCATATCATTTTCTTTCAAGGTGACAGTCTTCATCTGACACTGATTCTTTATGTAGTTCAGCCTAATACAACACAGTCTGTCACACTTAAAATATGAAACTCACTGAAGTACATACCTTCATTTGTCTCTTCGCTTATGTTGAGTGTTGCTGAGTGTCAGAATTGGCAGTTTAAACTTTTCTCAAAGATACAGGCAAGCCAGTCATTAAGGTCAACGCTTGCTGTGGATAAGAAGGTTGCTGTTTAACTTCCTAATTCCTTCAGCTTCCATGATGTCACTTGCTCACCTGTTATCAGAACTTATCAAAAAACTGGAAACCGCGTTACTTCAGAGTTCAACTGACAGACCTTCTGACTCTCAGCCACGCCCACACCCACATCCTCTTACATGGCCAAAGGCTGAATAAACCATACCAAGTGCACTGCTGCACTAATATGACAAATTTTTTAAAGCAGGGGTGGAGAATTCTGGCCCTAGAGAGCCGGATTCCTGCACAGTTTGGTGATTTCCTGTTCAAGCACACCTGATTAAACTCATCAGCTAATTACCAGGTTTGCTTGCTGTGCTAGAGCAGGGAAATCACCTGTGCTGGACTCTGGCCCTCAGTTTCCCACCCCTGTTTTAAAGCAATGTTTACCTTTTCATTTAAATCCATTGTTTTAAGTCTTGGTCCTGTAGTATCAATATGTAGTCTGAATATTCTTCACATTTTAGAATCTCCTGCTCCACAGACACCTGATGCCACAAATTAACTAATTAAGAAGCTCATCCTGAATTGAAGTGGGTGTGTTAGAGCAGGGAAAACACTACAACATGCAGAGCAGTGGTACTCCAGAACCAGGATTGAGAACCACTGATTTAAATAATTAAAGTAATGCATATTTCAGTCTTGTGTAAACGTATAGAGGACCGTTTGAAAGAAGCTCTCAATTCACTTCCATTCTTTTTGGGCTGATTTCAGTCCAAATAAAGGCACACCTGAGCCATTTTAGATCACCTCATGGCCCTGTCGTCTTCTACAGAGACTGGACTGTCTGTCTTTTCATCCACAGGCCTGTCAATCACTTTATAGTGTCAAAATGTTTTTCTGTGACTGTATACAAAATGATGTGATATAGCTGAAACTGGAAATACTGTGCCGTAATGTTTGAAGCATTACTCTTCTGTAATATAGTGCATGGAATGGATTAATAATAATAATAATAATAATATTAATAATAATAACAGTAATGATAAGACGTGCTAAACAGTCATTCTTACCCATGTCAATTTAATCAAAATTCAATGTCTGAAGTTGTTTGGTGCATCAAAAACAATTTACTAATAGAGACAGGCACTCACAGTACATAAATTCATAAAGTGGGTAAAAGCATTTTCATAACCTGTTTTTTTCAGGAATCTGTTGTTTTTATGTAGTTGTTATTATTTATTTTTATTATGTATTTATTTATTTAGTATTGTATGAATTTAATTTGATTTATGCTTTGATTGTATTATAGTAATAATAATAATGATGATTTATGTTCATTCAACACCAATTGTTGGGGGCATCTACTACAAAAGCGGGACATATGCGTCATTAAGGTGCCTGTGCATTATCACGCATTACTATTATCCACCCCACGAGAAGCTGATCAGGAAGTGACACGATTGACCTCACATGGTCCCCACTGAGGACAGCGGGATCACTAGGTCCAGTTTATATATACCGTCAATGATTTTAAAGGGCACACATGCTTTGGAGGGAGGGGCTTTGGAAAAGAATCAAATGGAAGGTATGAGAGTAAAGCACGGAGGTAAGGTCTCTCAAGCCAACCTTCTGATTGTCTTCAGAGAAATTGTGAGGTTTTGTTGCTGTGTGGTCAGAAACCTCTATGTGACAAGAAGGGGCCATTTGACCGGCCTTTTTTACAATGTTAATTAAAATGCTATTTAAGATCAAATGAATCCTGACACATAATTTACATTCCCTTTTACTTTCCCGGGTATAATAGTAATTTAGTTACATGAACAGAAAACTATGCAAAGTGCGTCATTAAGAAGATGCTTTTCATTAAGCCTCATCTCCCATGTGTGTTATCGTCATTTCAGCTAGTAACATCTGCTCCTGTGTTGGTGCTGTCAGTGCTGGTGCCCCCTTTTGGTGTGGAGTCTGAGTGTTTAGGAAAGCGCAGGAGATGGAGCTCCTGCATGTACTCTCTCTCCAGCAGTAGCTGCCTCTGCTGTGTCCGCAGCAGCTCCTGGTGGCTGTGTAGAGCATGAGCTCTCTGGATCAGCTGCTGCAGCTCCTCACGCAGACGCTGGTTCTCCTGAGACACTTCCTGCGTGTGAGAGAGCAGACAGCGTGATGCCTCCTGAGAGAGAGAGAGAGAGAAAGAGAGAGAGAGAGAGAGAAAATACCGAAGAAAATAATAAAATAAATGTTCAAACAACAAGAAGCAAATTACATCATCATGGACTGGGGGGAAAAAAGGGAGGGATTGCAGCCCATACCTGACCTATTTTTTTTAATGGGCCCCTAAGAACCTTACCTTATCACTGTATCAGATCTATCTTACACAGATACAATGAGTTTCTAGTTTATCAGGTACACCTATCTAGTAATATGTGGCGCCTTTGGCATATAATCCTATGGCCTTCAGCCTGAAGCATGGATTCCTTAAGTTTCTGGATGTGTACAGAAATGTTGTAATGATTGTGTTGGGCAGTTTCTGCAAGTTGGACTGCTGCACAGTCTAGCTGCAAACTGTCCTTTCCACCTAATCCCAAAGATGTTTCATAAAGTTGAAATCTGGGCACTGAGCAGGCCAATGAAGTGCTGAAAACTCACAATCATTTTTTTCAGGAAACATCCAGTAACGGTTGCTTCACTGTGACATGGTGCATTATCATTACCTCCCCTGCAGTTTTGGATATAAGGAAGAGCTGCCCCCCTTTTTTCTTAAGTGATCTCAGGTTCAGTGGTAGCTAAGTAGGGCTGAGAGATTAATCTTTTTTTTATCAAAATCACAATTTGAAACAGTGCAATTTTAAAAAATTGTCAGAGTAGCAATTTTCATCATAGCCTACACCTTTATCGATGCTGTCTCAACAAGTTTTAAGTGGGGAAAATTAAATTTAATATCACAGACCTCATGAGCTGCCTACAGATGAGTCAGACCAATCAGAAATAACCAGACACACATTTGACAACTAACTGGAATTCTGGCACACAACATTCAGCGTTCAAGCATCAAGTCAGAAAAAGTGAATGTGTTTGTCTTCTTGGCCCAAAGTTATGTAACTTACTGACCTTAACTTATAGAAAATAATTGCAATTTAAGTGTAATCCACAATACTTGTCAGCAAAATAATTAATAATAATTAGATATTTCTCCAAAATCATTCAGCCCCAATAGCTAGAGTTCTGGTTTTGCCAGCCTTCATGCCACACAGTTTTGCTTTAATAAAGTGCTTCATTTGGGAATTTGTGTGTGTAACTACTTATTAGTATTATTACTTGTTATTATTTTTTTTAAATACATGGCATGAGTATGTATATTTACAGATGTATTTCAAACATAATGTTTATGAAAACATTTTTTACTATTATTCATTCATATTATTCATATTAGTTTTGTTAAATTTACATGTACATTACCAGCCAAAAAGAAGCTTTGGTCTAAATGCTTATGCCTAAAAATTGAAGACAAACACAAATATTCAAATTGATGCTTATGACTTTATGTCCAAAACTAAAGATGATAATAAGGCTAATTTTCAAGTGTAGTCCCTGAGCAGATACACAGCAATTACTGTGTGTTTCACAGTACAATATACAAAGCAAGAGTGAGCACATCTCATCTGAGTTGGGCACAGGTGTAGGACACAGGTTAAGATCAAACAGTTAATAAAAGCAGATGTCCACACACCAATCAGTCAATGAGTTGTGCTTAAATTTACATTTAATTAAAAAAAGTACATTTCTGACTAATGTAATCTCATATGAACTATGTCATAGTTTTGATGTCGTCATTATTATTGTAAAATGTGGAAAATGGTAAAAAAAGAAAGAAAGAAAACTTGTTCTGTGAGTAGGTGTGTCCAAACTTGGACTGGCATTTATTTTCTGTTTGGGCTGTCTGTTACAACAAACAGTGTGCATGTGTGTGTCTGTGCAGTTCCACACTCACCCTGTTCGCTGCAAGAGTGAGTGTCTGCACCTTGTGTTTGGCCTGTGCCTCATAGCGCTCTCTCTCTCTAAGAAATGCAGCCTTCAGAGCCTGCAGAGACTCAGAGTGGCGGAGACGTGTGGCCGCTACCTCCCGCTCCAGCTCAGCTATGCGGCCCAACTGCTCCTGCTGCAGACTCTATAGCAAACACACCCAAACACAAGGCATTTTTGTACTGCAGATTCATACACAAGCCTTCAGTAAGTCTATAATCATTCAGTAATAATGGGCCTCATTCACCAATTTCTTCCTAAGCTTTTTCTTAAGTTTGTTCTTGAGAAAGGTCCTAAGAAAAAGTCTATGTCAGATTCATGATGTGTTCTTAAACTGCAGAACTTTCTGCACCGTAGTGCTCTTGAGCGCGTGTAGATTCTGTTCTTACCTAAGAACAAAACCCTAATAAGAAGACATTGGTGAATGACAGAATCTTCGTGAAAACTGCGCAAGTGGGTTTAAGAAGAAATTTCTTCTTAAGAATGGTTGGTGAATGAAGCCCAGTTTTCTTTTTTTTTAATCTTATGAAACAAAAAAAGTATCTAAAGTTACAGAAAATGCATAGTTTGTTCACTTCTAAGCAGAAATACAACACAATTTGAGTGAGAAGACACATACAAGAGAGTTTTCATGGCTACCTTAAATTCTCGGAGCTCGGCTATCTCAATTTTCAGCAGAGCCAACTCTTTCTCCTTCTCCAAAATCTCCTTCTTCAGCACTGAAAAAAAAAGTTTTGTTTTCTGAATTTGTTTAATGCTTTAAACACATCCACTCGTCCACACCTTTATTTCTAGCAGGGTTAATTACGGTAATGGTCTTCTAACTGTACTCCCTAAAAAAGACAATCAAACAGCTTCAGCTGATTTAAAATGCAGCTGCCAGAGTCTCATTACGAGGAAAAGAAGGGAACACATCACCCCAGTTCTTAAATCCGTACACTGGCTACCAGTCTGTTACAGAATAGACTTGAAGAATCTATTACTGGTCTATAAACAGCAGCATATTTATCTGATATGCTGCAGTGATATGAGCTGAGCAGAACTCTCAGATCATTAGGAACTAGTCAGTCAGTCCTGCCAAAGGTGAAAACTAAACATGGAGAAGCAGCGTTTAGCATTAGAAGAGAGACACTCTTAAATCTGGGTTGAAAGTGTTCCTATTTGAGCAGGCTTCGGCTTAGTTTAAAACACTGTTAGCTCTACTGTACCTCTCTCCTGTACAGCACTTTATTATCCTAATTTTTAATTTGATTTTTAAATTTAATGTAATTTTTCTCTTTAAAAATATATTGTTTGAATCATGTTTTTAATTTCTATTCTGCTACATCTTAAATTTTATCTTTGTATTTTCTCATTTGTAAAGCACTCTGAATAACTAAAGTGTATGAAAGGTGCTATATAAATAAACTTGCTGTGTCTTGCCACACTACCCCTCCCCAATCCACATACACACCATTGGCCTGTTCCCTGTATTTCTCCTGTGTCTCCTCTGTCTGTCTCCTCAGCTCTTCTAGCTCCTTTTGACTCTGATCACTCAGAGTAACAATTGCACTCTGCCGCTTCTGTGTCCGCTTCGATATGTATGACATGTACTCTTGCTGCAGATGCAAAGAGAGTGTCAGTGTGAGGGGTGTGTCAGATACCACCTTTACACAGACCACAGTGTGAATCACATCTTCTGGATCTCTATTCAGTGTATGTGGCTACTCACACTCTCCATGCGTGTCTGGTAGGCCTCGTTCTGAAGAAACCCATTATCTCTCCGTCTGGATTTGACTGTGAGTTAAACTGTCTAAATCTCAAATGTTGATCTGTGTGTGGTTATTAGCTTTTTGTGTGCAGCAAATGCCCTTAAGATGATGGAAAACGTGAACATTGGAGAACATTTAGCCAGTCCTCTCAAAAACACCAGCAAAAATGTCTTTGTAGGGTTCTTTTTAACCCATTTGTGTAACTAATTTTAGTATGATAATGAAACGTCACAGAACTTAACTGGTCTAAAGTAGTGGTTCTTAATCCTTTTCCTGGAGAACCTCTGCCCTGCACATCCCAGTATTTTCTTCAGCACAGCATGAGTTGTTATGTTAATAAATGGGTGTGATTAGTTGGATCAGGTGTTTTGGGAGCTGGGAGAACATTAAAACCCAAAAAAACACTGAAAAAAACAAAACACTTCAAGCTCAAGTAACCCGCTTTCCCTGTAATCAGCCATGTGCTCAACTCTGTGTCCTCCATATTTGATTTAATATGTTTTTATCAGAATTACCACACACAGGGAATAAGAGGAAACTGAGGAGAAGGTGTCTCCAATTACTAATACATTCTAAACTGCAAAAGGAAAAAAATAAATAAACTCTCTCAAAGTGAAACACCATTATGCTAGTTAATGCTAGTGAATTTGTATACTACCTGCACCGTTGTTTAAAAACTTAGGACTCTATATAGGAATTTTTGGCAAGTTAGGATGCTGCTGTAATCCTTTTTTCTTATCTGGAGTTATGATAAGATTTTAAATTTAGGAAATGTTATTATGTAATAGCAACTGTCCTAATTTTAAACCTAACTCTAGCTTCATTACGGCCAAACAGATAAGATTTCAGAGTCAGGATGTTTGTGTTAAAAAGCCCCAGGAGTCTAAAGTGGTCAAAGTGATAATTCTGAAGTGCCTAGTTTCTGAAACTAACGTGATGGTTGTGAATAATTTCACCTAACAGTAACGTTTCACATGTAATTTTCAAAATTTACTGCCAATCAAGTTTTATATTAGAATCAAATTCACATTCAGATTTACTACACTAAACGATTTTGTATACGTTTTTGTTAAAGATCAATAGTCTCATGTGACCAAAAGACTAATTATAATGTGGAACAAAAAAAAACTCACATTTTAATAAGACTGTAACAATATTATATAGTTCAATATGAGCCTCTCAATTCAACATATACAAATCAAACACTGAACAATACATTGAACAGACTGGAGCAAATATTATTATTTCAATACTGATTACAAAGCATGAAGTAAAATAAAAATAAACAAGCAAGCCCACAATGAGGGCCGACCCTCCCTGCTCTGAAAATATTCTTCCTCTTTAGCTCAAAATTGAGAGCAGAGAGAAAAAGCACGCTGCTCATAAGCCTTTTAGATTGAGACTAATATTAAAAAATATTGCACTTTTCCATTGTTAAATGCTGTAATTTCCACAAGGCACATTTTCAGGCACTTCTCACTTCTGCTGCATCAAGACGTATCAAACCAAGGCACCACCATACTGTACTGAACTGAATTATGAATTAGTAAACTGTTGGAAAATTCCCTTTGGGTTCCTGAGGTTGATCAGGGTTGGATCAGGTGTAGCTATTTATGTATTCAGCAGATATGAGTGAAATACTCCACAGCTGTCTGCTGTGTGTAGAAAGGATACAGCTGTTCTGCTCTCCTCTTCAGCAGGTTCAGTGTCTCAGTCAGTGTGTCGTACCTGAAGATCAGAAGCCAAACAACATGTTATGAAGGGAAGACAGTAAGCCGCGTAGGTTAGCTAACGCTAGGTTAGTCGACTCCATGTTTCGAAACATTCTCTCTCACTCGGTCTGGAGGTGTCTGTCTGTTTCTGAGCTTTCCTGCTGGTCTGTCCTCTGTAGAGCCATTCTGAGGCAGTGACTGAGGCGGAGAGATCAGAGGATCAGTGAACTAAGGCGCTAATCAAAGTCAGTGATCAGATAGACTGCTGTTGTTTTATCTAGTCTGTCCGCGCTGTTAACTCACGCTGTAGCCCGTTTCCGTCGTATGATTGGCTGCTCAGTAACTAAGCAACGAGATACACAAATCTGAACACTGCGGAGGAGAGTTAGTTTTTACGTGTATTGTTTAATAAAAAGTTTAATCCTACAGCCTTTATTAATAAGTAATTTTCTAATGAAAACACGTTTACCTTTACTCACGTACTCACTTTACTTCCTGTTCTTATGTAATAAGAAGTTCCATAGTTCTGAATGTTTTTGTTGTTGTTGTTTTCACAATAAAAGGCCCATTAGTCCAACACAACAAACAGGTGCACCCAGCAATAGCATAAATTAAATACATTAAAATTAAAAAATAAACTTACATTAAAAAGTTAACATTTTTCCCGCTCCTGTAAAGTTTCCATTTTGGACATACACGTTTATTTATTTAACAGCTGCAGTTTGAATAAGTGACCCTTCATCTTTCTTACGTTTCCAACATAGAGGGGGATCCAAAAATCTGAGACCATAGTAAAAATCTGGGATTTTTTTTTAATTCATATCTGGAAATAAAACTTTAGAATTTTGAAAACTTTAAAACAGAGAAATGTTAGGACAGTAAAAAGAAGAAGAAATACCTAAGATCCTGCACTATTTAGGTCACTGTTCAAATTTAAGCAAATTTGTGACTCTGCCGATGTTAAGGCCTTTAAGGCACTCAAAAGGTCAGGTTGGTCTCATCCCTCCCATTGAAACATCCACTGATCACTGGCATTTGCACAACCGTGTGGAGTTCATGCCAGCTGGAGAGCATGCTGTCATTAAAGCGGAAGGGTGACAAACCAAATACAAAAAAAATCCGAAATGCATGTTAAAATTTCAAAGACTCGTCTTTTCATGAAAAAAAAATTGTAATGAAAACCTGTGTATCAAAACAGAAACGAGTGGAACGGTGGCGCAGCGGGTAGTGTTGTGCCCCACAGCAAAAAGGGCCTAGGTTTAATTCCCCAGCTGGGCGAACAGAGGCCTTTCTGTGTGGAGTTTACATGTTCTCCCTGTGTCTGTGTGGGTTTCCTCCCATAGTCCAAAGACATGCAGTGAGGTGAATTGGAGACACTTGACGCTGAGAGTGTGTGTGTGAATATATGTGCATGTCTGTGTGTCTGCCCTGTATTGGACTGGCAACCTATCCAGGGTGTTTCCTGCCTTCCGAATAGATCTTAGCTTCATCGTGGGAGCAGAGGGTTTCATATTGTTACATATAAGATTACAGGACTCTCCATCTAATGATAGCAAAACAAAAAGGCGCAATATCCCTCCAGGTGGAAGCCACTGTTGTGGCTGAAATTTTGTGGTGGCGTCTGGATGGCCCATCAGATTTCAGGGATAGACACCGGCCACCCTGGCCAACCCTTTAAAACAGTGCATGTCTGTGAAGTGGAATTATAACATTCTGCAGTTTTCTTATATAGTTTGGTCACAGTTTTTACAATTTAAAATCAAAGTGGTTTCAAAAGAGGAAGGTTTTCAATTGAAATTTGTAGCACTAGTCAACAGCCTCTCTAAGATGAAAATAACAGATAAGAAATCAGAGGAGCTGATATGTTATAACTATAAGCAAGAATCTTGATAGTTTTTAAATTGCTGCTCGAACTGTGTTTCCCCTGCAAGGGCTATTTAGGCTCCTCGGCCAGTTAAAGTGAAACGGTCGAGGTGTGTGTATGTGTATGTGTGTGTATGTGTATGTGTGTGTGTGTGTGTGTGTGTGTGTGTGTGTGTGTGTGTTTATGAAGAGTGCTCACTAGGTGTCGCAGGTCTCTCTGAGCCCCCTTCTCTCACTGACACACACATTCTTTCCTACGACAAACACAGAAGTAGCAGTAAGGACTGGTGGAGGGAGCGACTGCGACTCTCACCATGTATCAATTGGCGAATGTCTACATAGACTAAACTCTATCAAATACAGCCTGATTGATTATTAGAAGGTTAGAATTTGGTTAGGTTGTTTCTTGGTCAGTCTCCCGGTCAGTCCGGTAGTCAGAGAGAGAAAGAGAGGGAGAGAGAGAGAGAGGAGTGCAGGGTGATGCGCCGCTGAAGGCTCAGGTTTCCGGTCATGGAGAAAGCGAAGGCACAGTAGCGTGGATGTGTTGACACAGGCGACGTGAACATACAGGCTTTGTGTCGTTTTAAAGGCGATATCAGCGACGATGGAGCGGAGAGACGAGTTTCTGTGTGGGGTGGTTGAAGGTAAGAGGAGCGTGTTGTCCTGGTGAACTGGGCTTTGTTTGTTGAGTGTGTGGATCATCACTTCATTGCAGTCTCCTATAGAGGCTGTACAGGCTAATCGACAGTCTGTCAGGCGGTTATGACCCATGCTGTTCATCATAATGAGTGCCTGAATGCAGTGGTTTTGTTATTTGACCCATTTCTCTTTTATAGCTGGAGTACCAGGGCACCCATCTTATGCAGCCTCAGTGCATTATAAATAGCCACATTCAGAGTGAGTGTGAATAGGGGCTGTTCAGGCAGGCACACACACACACACACACACACATACACACAGACTGGCACATACACACAGACTCACACCTGTTCTATACTGATGCTGACACACACACACACACACACACACACTGAGAGTCTAATTGGCCCAGCTTGTGTCTGTAGGTTCATGTCATATTATTGGCTGTATGAATGCTTTTAATCTCTTGCCCAGCAGGGAAATGTCAGTGTGGAGGTGTCTGCTGCTCAGTCTCTTCATTGTCTCTACTGACCCACTTCTGTCCTGCAGCAGCACAGTACAGTGTAGCCACATACTGTTAGCCTATGGCTGAGCTGAAAAAGCCTTGAGCAGACATCAGGTTATGTAGTACAGACACCTCAGAACACCTTCCCACTCCTCATTCTTACTTAAGATTCATACTGCATGTTCAGAATGTGCACTCAATGTAAAATGTTTCACATGTAAGCTGCACGTGCATATACTACGTTCTCACTAAAGATCCATAACGTGCATTCAGATTTATCATTGTTACTAAAGATTGAAATGATTAATGATGCATTAATTTACACCAGAGGTGGGGGACGTACACAAGTTTCTTAAGTAGAAGTACAAGTACTCTGAAAAGATACTCTGGTAAAGGTTGAAGTACAGTTTACATTTTGTACTCAAGAAAAATGAATCAGCATGTTTATAATTTTAATGTTAATTAGAAGTACAGAAATAATGCTTTATACTAATGCTTTCATACGTGCATCAAATTACAGATTTGATTTTTTTTTTTGTAGAGCATATGCCAAGAATTGTATTTTGAACCAACCAGGTCACTTGATGAGGTGTCTGAATGGAGAAGAAGTTGCCTGATTTAAAATAAAATAGATAAATGAAAATTTACAGTAGCGAGCCTGGTTTGAAAATGTATTGAGAAGCGCTTACAGACTTATCTTTTAAAAGGTGGTGAATAAAAGTAAAAATGCCAGAAATACTCAAGTACAGATACTTCAAAATTTTACTTAAGTGCAGTAACGAAGTACTCTTTTCTTTATTACTTCACATGCCAGTTCAAAATTCATACTGCATGTTCATCATAAACATTCATTCACCACATTGTTACTAAAGATTTATACTGCATGTCCATAATGTACATTCAAGCTCCACATTCTTACTAAAGATTCATACAGCACGTTTATAATGAATATTCATAATGTATTCAGGTACTGAAGATTCATACTACATATCCAGAATGCACATTCATACAGTACAATCTTACTAAAGCCTCATACTCCATGTTCAGAATGTACATTCAGCCTCCACATTCTTACTAAAAATTCATACTGCAACTTATAAAGTACATTTATACTCCAAATTCTTACTAAGATTTAATTACATACATTCAAATTCCACATTCTTGCAAAGATTCATACTGCATGTTCATGATGTGTATTTATAAGAAACATTGTTACTAAAGATTCACACTGCATGTTCATGATACATGTTTATAAGGAAGATTGTTACTAAAGATTCATACTCCATGTTCACGATGCATATTTATAAGGAACATTGTTACTGAAGATCATAATGCACACTTATGCTCCACATTCTTAATAAAGATTCATACTGCACATTCATTCTCTGCTCCTGAAATGTGCCATTGACGGAGAGAAAGTTGACGGAGGGTTTCTGTGGGTATTGTGGTTCATATCATTTGTGCTTTTATATATGTATTTGTATACCTATGTTTCTGCATGCATATCATATGTATCTTCTGTGCAGGTTTCTACGGGCGACCATGGTCCATGGAGCAGAGGAAGGTCCTGTTTCAGTGGTGAGAAACACATTAAATTTCTTGTTTTCGGACCTTACTCTGGCACTGGCTGTAGTTGGGATTGCACACTGTTGTGCACACTCGTGTAGGTGGGGTGGCAAATGGCCTTTGCAGTAGGAATGACTGGGCACTGGTGCCAGCATGGCTTCACTGAGCTGCAGTTTGACACACCATGCATTACTGTCAGCCCTCAGAGAAAGCAGCAACACAGAATGGCTCCATTTCCCCTGAGTGAGGAGGTAATTGATAAAGTGATGATTACAGTGGTGATGTAAGGGGTTAGATGATAATTGGACTGGCTTCGGTGAGAGGGAAAAATAGAGAGTGAGAAAAAAAGAGAGAATGAAGTGTGAGGGGAGACGCTTTGGTGTTTATTCAAGATTCAAGATTTACTGCCATACCAACTCAGCTCATGGCAGTGAGACAACAAAGAAAAAACACAAGGAGAACTGATACAGCATACAGTAGGATCATAACACTTATGAATGGCTGCACTTTAGTCAAAATAAAATGACAGATGCATTTAAGACAGATTTAAGTCTAACTCTAAAAGCATAATAATACACTTATTTTCAGGTTCAGTATGATTTTTTTATATTTGGATCAAATAAAGTAATATCTTTCATCTGTGTATAGAGATATACAGAGAAATTAGAGAAAATATTAAAATAAGCGCATCCTAAATGGTTCTTTGCTTGGATGTACAATTCTTGGAAAAACCTTTGATTGTTATAGAAGATCCAGCCATCTCTCTGCATACTGTATTGTGCAGTATACACTATATGGCCAAAAGTATGTGGCACACCTTCTATTTATTGAGTTCAGGTGTTCAAACCACACCCATTGCTAACATGTATAAAATCAAGCACATAGTCATACAGTTTCCATTGACAAACATTGGCAGTAGAATGCTAGATCTGCCCCAGTCACCTGTAAGTGTTATTACTGTGAAATGAAAGCATATTGGATCAATAACAGCTCAGCCACAAAGTGGCAGACCACACAGCCTCACAGAGTGAGACTGCTGAGTGCTGATATTGCTCACTCACTAAAGAGTTTAATGTGGAGGATGAGTTTTAATTTGATGAGTTCGAAATGCAAATGTGCAAAATGTACCACAAAATATTCATATTCAGAAAAAGTATACATATCCACACCATGTAAATTAAGTGTATAGGATATTTACAACAACTTTGATCAGCTGGGATATGACTATAACAGGTGCAGATATGCAAAGAAGGAAATGTCAAACGTGTCACTCAAGATGTGCAAAATGTACAAGCACACTATTTGTCCGAAAGTTTGTAGACTCTTTCTCATCTAACGTCTTCTGAAAATCAAAGGGGAATAATAAAAGGGAATTCCACAGATTTTAAAAAATGTCTGCATAATTAAATAGATAAGTTGTTCAGAGTGGTTTGCTGTGAAATGCTTCATTCTAGGGAAAGTTAGAGTCATAACTGTTCATGATGATGGTGATAGAAACCAGACATCTGATAAGTTTAATGCTTTTTAAACTTACCTCAAATAAACTTATTGCATGAAATGATTATGAATATGCTGCCTGATTGCTGAGACATTGTATTATGATAGTTTTACAACAAAGTTTTGGCCTAAAACATATTTTTAAAAAGTTATTCATGGTACATGCAGGGTGTTGTAAGGCAAAATAGTCCCTAAAGAAAACTTATTTTTTCAGATTTACCACTATTTTACCATCATTAAAATCACATATAGAAGACATGTAAGTTCACTGGTAGTTTTGGATAGTAAGTAAAATGGCTATATATGTTGTACACACAACAACCCCTGGTTCTTATCACCACCACTGAACATCTGAGTCAGTAAGTTTCTCTACAACGAACAATTTCATATCAAACCACTCTAAATGACTTAGTTGCCATCTCAACCACTGATTTATGCAGAAACTTGGAAAAATCAGTGTAATTCCCCTTTAACCCTGTAAAATCACAGGCTTATTACATCCTCAGGCTTATTATTCAGTAACTAAATGGACAACACTGGAAACTGAGTTATTCTTAGGTTATAGAAGTGGGTAAAATGAGTTTGGTCCTGGCCATTTAAGGGGTTAAAAGGGAATTTGTCCCAACCTTGCTGTGGTAACAACCTACATTGTTATGAGGATTTGATGTGTTCAGCCACAGGAGCATCATTGAGGTCAGCCACTGGTGTTGGATGCTTCTAGATGATTCCAACTCATCCCAGAGGTATTGGATGACACTCCATCACACAAGAGAACACAGTTCCACTGCTCCAAAGTGCCATGCTGGGGAGCTTTACACCCCTTTAGCTGATACGTGGCATTGGGTATGGTGACCTTAGGCTGATGTGCTGCTGCAGAGTGTCCCATTCATTTGGCAGTGCTTTTTTTTTTGAGGTTTGTATGCCCGATTGCCTGTGTCAGCATGGACACACCCTAAAGGAGTGTATGGATACCGAAATACAGTGCAAAACACAGACAGGAAAGAAGATTTATAACTTGTCTTAATTGTTCTTGAAGCAGCTCTCAAACAGCTCTTTCATGAGTTCATATATTCTCTCGTTCACGTGTTCTTGTCTGTCGGGAATGGTACCTCACCTTTTTTTCCAAAGCATAACATCCCACGACACCTTCTGCTAGCGGTGGGCCTAAATGTGTGTGTGGTTTGTCAGAGAAGAGCACAAATGTGTAGGACACCATCTGCACAGGAAGAGAGGATAAGAGAGAACATTCTACCCACACAGGAGGAGAGAGGAAAAGAGAGGGCACTGGTCCAAAATGAGCGATGGGTGAAGGGATTAATAGTAAAAAAGGAAGAGAGAGAGAGAGAGGTGTGCAGCGAGGATGTGGGAGGAGAGAATTTTTACACATTTGGTCAAGGCTAGTGATCCTGCTGGTGCGCTGGGTGGAGTGGAAGAGAGCTGGGTGTAGATGTGTAGGTGATCTGTATTAGACGTAACAGACAGAGAAATGAAGTAAGAGAATGGGTGATTTGAGAGGAACTGAGAGAAAGAGCTGTAATGTATGTGTGAGAGAGAGAGTCTTTAAAGCTTGGGCAGAGGTTTGTGTTCTGTTGGACAAAACAACGTTTGCAGTGTTCACGCGTTTGGCGAGAGGTCAGCCCTGGGGAGGCATGTTTTAATATTTCAGAGAAACTAACTCAACCTCACTGTATGTAGGGCATCTGCCTTAGCTTCTCTTTAGACCCACATACACTGGCCAAACACTGTCCCTGCACAGACATTTAAGAGAGCTGGGGCTTAAAGTGAAAAAAGAGCAACATGAACATGAATTAAACTTAAATTATTTTACCGTATGTTGCAATCACTCTCCTCAAGAGAGACAGTGTAATCATGTTTCAGATAAAATATGCCAATATGTTATTGTTATTGTGAGACATTATGCTTTTCTGAGTATATCGTGGGTATTGTCTGTACATCTACTCCACTGAGTAACTGCATGGATATAAAGACGGAGTCTCTAAACAACCACATGTGTGTAGTAACTAGAAACTCAATTCTAAAGAAGTTGGGATAGTGACAGTATGAGAAATGCTTATAACAACAAAAAAGAAGTGATTATTGAATTCGATTTTGATCTGTATTGTATTGAAAAAGGTACAAACCCACAAATTTTATATTTTACCTTGTGAACTTCTTTGTTTTGTGTAAATATGCTCTAATTCCAAATTTGATGCCGGCAAGGCATTCCCAAAAAGTTAGGACAGGAGCATGTTTACCTCTGTGTTACACACCTTTTCTTTCAACAACATTTTTATGTTTTGAATGTGTTTTCAATAGGAGACAGATCTGGACTGCAGGCAGGCCAGTCTAACACTGACACTGTCTCATTACACAGCTGCTGCTGTTTAAATGCATGCAGAATGCGGCTAGGGTGCTTTCATGTTGATATAAGCGTGGATGTCCCTGAAGAAGATATTGACTAGAAGGCAGCATATTTTGCTCAAAATGTGTTTAGCCTTAATCGTATCTAAAGTTTCCCATTAATACCCCCCATTCCAAGATAGACTCTGGCTTTTAAACTTTACACTAGTGACTATCTGGATGCTCATTTATTGAATGGTCTATTATTTCCATAAACAGTCTAAAATGTTGAGTTGTCAGACCACAAAACACATTTTCACTGTGCATCAGTCCATTTTAGATGAGCTCGAGCCTAAAGAAGTCAATTGCATTGTACAGTCATAACCTTCATTTTTGGATGCAGTGACAGACGATGGTTATTGACAGTGGTTTGTCAAAGTAATCCAGAGCCCATGAGGTTTTATCCATCACAGAAGCATGTCAGTTTTCAGTGCAGTGCCATCTGAGGCATTCATTTGTGGTTTTCAGTCTTGCCCTTTACACAGAGAGATATCTCCAGATTCCCTGAAACTGTTGAAGATGTTATGCACTGAGGAGGGTGAAATACCTAAAATCCTTGAATTCACTCGCTGAGGAATTTTTAAACTGGTGGCTTTTTGCTGATTCATTTTTTTTGCAAAGTGGTGAGACTCAATCCATCCCTGCTCATATAGGACTAGGCCTTTCGTAGATGCTCCGTTTATACCCAAGCATGACTGAATAACCTGTTTAGGATTTTTTCTGAACATTTCACAACATTTCTAGTCTTAAATTGCCCCCGTCACAACCTTTTTGGAACATGCTGCAGGCATCAGTTTCAGAATCAGTGTGTGTTTACAAAAAAACAATGAAACAATGAAGTTGTTAAGGTAAAACATTACATATCTTGGCTTTGTACTTCTTTTGTTAAAATACAAGTCAAGTAGATTTATAAATCACAGTTTTATCCACATTTCACATACTGGCCCAACTTTTTTGGAATTGGGTTTGTATATAAACGGTATAGCGGTCTCAGCCTCTGTTTATGCACTCAAAGATGGCCACAACTATCAGGATTTTGAGAGTTGCATGCTGACTTGCTATCTGCACGTCCACATATATGCACTTCCATGCAATGTTTTTATTGAACGTTTTGTTTTTCCAGCTAAATTCTAGTTAACAATAGCATTCCTATAGCATTTGATTACCACATAAAGCTTAGTGATAACTGTATTGAAGAGAAGTCCCTGTTTTTCTTAAAGAACAAAAGCTTGGTGTAGTTATTAAACCCCTCATTGCTGACATATGTTATTGTTCAAAATAACCACATTATAGAATGTCTCGCTCAAGAGATTAAGAGTTTAATGGTAGGATTTCCCGTGCTCGAAATTACTGGAGAAATCTTGAAAGGCAGTCAGTACTGCACCAAAGGGAGCACTCAAAAGCAATCTTGGAGAATGTCAGGAGCAATATACAACACTGTTATACACTCCGACCAAGAGGGAACTTGTACCAACTGAGGGCAATTGGGAAGGGGGTGTCTAAGCTTGTTCCTGTGTGGCTGGGCAATATGCCAATATATTATCGTTACTGTGATAAATAATGTCACAGTATGCTTTTCTGAGCATATCATGGGTATCATATGTACATCTAGAGCTCTGAGCTCTGCATGGATTATAAAGATTTAGACCAATTATAAAGCCTGTAAACAACAGCATTGTATTGCATAGTAGCTACATAGACTGCAAAGTAGCCTCAGCCTCAGACAGTCCTTTTTTCCGTGTGATATCTTTAACAAACAAAGCTGGCCACAACTATCAGGGTTTTGTCAGTTGCATTCTGATTAGCTGTCTGCACATCTGCATATACGCACTTCCATGCAGCATTTTTATCATTCAAATAGGATACAAAGTTACATTTTTTCCAGCTAAATTCTTATCAGCAATAGCAAACAGCTGCCTGCACTGGACATCATGACAGGGCCTTTCAGAGTAAGATATATCCGTGGGATTTTCACAATCGCCTCCCGTTGCATGTCGCACAAAAACAACGGTCTGTGATTGGCCATTTTGCATGTTAGTCAAATGCATAATATGGCAGTGCTTGGCCACATTATGCAGCGAAAAGCACCAGACTCATATGCTGATAGACAGAAGTCTTGTTTGCGAGAATAACCTCATAGAAACAAGCAGCTGATTGGATGTCAGCGGATTATAACATCATCTTATTTGATTTAATTTAATTTGTGGCAGGGGTCGCTCTGTGTTTTTCTGGAAGTGGAAAAAATGTGAGGCGAACTGCAATTGTCTTTTTTTCTTTCTTCACACTGTTTTCTGTCTCCCTGTTTCCTGGTTCCCCTGTGCTAGCAAGCTGTCATTTACAGACGTACAGGCACAAAGTTTAACTACCACTATTAACCAGCAAACATGGTGCTGCTAGCAAAAATAAGCTAAACTTACAAAAAAGCTGATTTTTGTTTATGTCATGAGTTTAGTCATGTTTGATCTGTGAAAGACTGCAGCCCCTGATCCCCCACCATTGCAGCTGTGTCTGAAGGCTCGCCTTATCTTTATCTGATTGATCACAGGAAAAAAAACACTACTGACATGAGCAACTTGACTGCATAAAGTTAAACTTTCTCAACTCTGGGCTTGTTCAGCGCTCCGCACAGAAAGCCACATGCAGGGCATATCTCCTATTGAAAACCGCTGGAAATAAGTGCTTTGAATCTTTCCTCTCATTTCTTTTTAAATAGTTTATTTTTTACAAATGTTAAAATTAAGGAATCATTGTACTGTATTGTATTGTGATGTTATATTTGTGCCATACTGCCCACCTTATGTTTTTTAATGCTGTTCATGAACTGCTTTTATTTTTAGCTTTAATTATAGCAGTCAATTAGCCAGATGTTCGCATGATAAATATAGACAGAGCTTCTTTTTGGCAAGCTTACTTTCTCATGCCACAACAATTAGAAGAGGCATCAAACTGTAGATTACTGACATTGAGCCAACTCTTTGTCAAGGTTATCTGAATTCACAAATTTGGTTCAGGTTTTTTTTATGTTTTTCTGTATTAAAACACATTCATATACTATATGCACATCCCCTTTGTTATATGACATCATGAAAGAAAAACATCTCAGAAGTTCCATTTGGCTGCACACATTGGGTCGACTGTCTCACTCGAGCAGACAATGACTGTCTCACTTTTATTGCTCCGTGACTCTGTTTGCAGTCTTTACATTTCTCAAATTGCGTTTGCATCGACCACACTGGTCCAATAAACATTCATTTTACTCACTTACCTAAAGACAGCGCCAGCTTGCTGCTTTACCGCAATGGCTGTCACACTGGTAATGCTCTGATGTAGAACTTCCAGTAAGGATTCTGGAAATAGCTCACTCTAGTGCTCTCCTCTTTGAGTATAAATGCGGAGACGCGGATCAGTTTCTAAAGCAGAGATTTCTAGCTGGGGTGTCATCGCACCAGCAGTGATGAACTCTACTGACCTCTTCAGAGTCATACAGAGTGGAACTGGCCTCAGGTCAGTCTGGTATTAGCAGTATTGATCCAGTCCCCAGGCCTTTCTCTGCAGGACATCTGACCCGCTCCATTATTGATGATGGAGAACAGTGGAGGAATCACTGCCATTATCGTCTCCCCTGCTGCCCAGGATGCTCAAGGAGAAGGGATGTGCTGTTTGTGGCATGTCTGTTTTTCTGTGGGTTTAAACGTTTTTTTTATGATCCTGCAGTTCATAATGTAGAAAAATAATGTGTTTTTCTGGTTGTAGTGTTTGTTGTTTCATGTTTTTGTTGATTACAGATCCGAGAGAAACAGGAGGACACGGATATGTCTTTCATTTAAGTTTTTGTTACTTAGCATGCACATTAAGAGAGTTTGAGTTATCAGGGCTGTAAGACGTATATATCAACACATTTTGATTTAACTACGATGCATCATGCATCAAGAAAGCATATTTTGGTCCAGTTCTTTTTGATTTGATTCAGTTATTTTGTGTGTGATTCAGAATTATCTCTTATTATACTCAGGTTCACTTTGGAATGCTATAAAAATCATTTTAATAGAAATTATATAAATTTATGCCTCAAATATTTTTTCTCTCTCTCTCTTGTTTATGTTTCACACATAATCAGGATGCAGAGATGGGGTCTGAACACTTACCTCTATGGCCCTAAAGATGACCTGAAGCATCGGCTGCTGTGGAGAGAGGTGTACTCTGCTGAAGAGGAAGGTATGGCATTCATTTGCTCATGTTAGGCTTGTTTACTTTTGCAAACCTGAAGAACCGATCAGCTTAACCTCCTCTCTTAAAAATAAAGCTGCCAAATGAAACCAAAAAAGGTTCTTTGGAGAAATACCATAGAATAATCTTTCAAGGACCATTTTTGTAAATGAAAGTTATGAAAAGAAAGAAAAATATGTTAACAAAGACACTGGTGCACCAAGGTGACTTTAAGAGTAGCTCTTATTCACTGTGCTGCTCATCTTATTCACTGTGCTGTTGCCGCCGAGTTTTGTGCTTCTGGTCCAAAGTTTTTAGATAAGTCTTGACTTATCATAAATGTTAGGTCTCAAAATATGATGTCTGTCAAATTTTAAACACATTGGCCTTTTGACCTTAGTATGGAAATTTTGAACAAAAAAGTCAAAATACTTAAAGAAAAACTATAAAGTGTTTTGTAATGACTTATATTTGTGCAGTTGTTAAACTCAATGGACCAAAGAATTTTACAGCAGTCACCCTTGTGCTTTAGTATCAGAGCACACCAGAATTTTCATGTTATAATCACTGCCTATAGGAGCAATGCCACCAGATCCACTCATGAATTTTCTGATTTATTTTAAGAGTCTATCTCTCTCTCTCTCTCTCTCTTTTTAGCCCAGCTGAAAGCTCTAGTGTGTGAGGCTGAGTCAAGGGGTTTGAGATTCGTCTATGCGCTCTCTCCTGGTCAGGACATCGTCTTCTCCAGCTCGTCTGACCTCACGCTGCTCAAGCGCAAACTTCGACAGGTACGCAGGTGCACACAGATCCATCCATGCAGATTTAAATATCAGAAACTAGACAACAAAAACCTTTACAGTTTTTTTACAACTGAATTGAAATCTATAAGGTTGACCAGTACAAGTAGACTGCCATCATTTTACACATTATTTTGCAATCAGATTGGCTTCATTTCACTGAAAATGCTGATTCCAAACTTTTGAATGGTAGCATTAAAAAACGCTATGTAGGAATCATCACTGCATGACAAGGACAGCTATTTTTAGCTTCCACTTCCTTAAATGTTCATATAGCCACACACGCTCCTACACGTACGCACACACAGCCCTACTTTATTATTCAGCTTACCATGGTTCTATTAAGATCTGCCCCACTCCGACAACTTTAAAATCTGTCCTGTTTAGCTCCACTTTTCCCTTAAGTGTTACAGAAGCCTGAATCTTGCTCTACTTTCTGTTGCTCTTTCTCCTCTTTAACACTAGGTAGCAGAACTGGGCTGCCAGGCGTTTGCCATCCTGTTTGACGACATCGACCACTCTATGTGCCAAGCCGACACTGAGGCCTTCTCCTCGTTTGCTCATGCTCAGGTGTCTGTGGCCAATGAGATCTTCCGTTTCCTGGGGGAACCTCCCGTCTTCCTCTTTTGCCCCACTGGTAGGAAAGTTTTCATATCATTCAGCAGCCTATCAACATCAACCACTCAGTGATGATGTGTTAGTGAATGTCTTTAAATTTTGCTTGTGTTGTTCTCTCAGGTTTGCTGTACTTAATGACAGTGATCTAGATGGCAGCTTACTTAGTTTCACATTGGTTGTATTTTTTGCTGTAGTATGAATAATTTTCCATGCTTATGTTATGATTGCTCTCACACTATTTCTCACCTGTAAATGAATCTTCATATACATTTTGCAACAAAAGAAACAACAACAGACATTACATACAAGCAGACTAGCACAAAGCTCAAAGGATGTAGATGAAGACTGATACAAATAAATATACTTAAATTAAAAAAGAGGTGATCGGTTCCAAATGAAAGTTTACATGAAATTAGAAAAAAATACATTTTTCACACAAGAAATAGCTTTAGAGCAGTTTTCCATGTGGGGAAAATTCTAGTACTGTATGAATGGGGTGGCCATTGGGTGACCAAGGCAACCTTAGGCGAGCGTAGCTAGGACTTTTACAATGTAGTGACCAGGTAAGACCATAAAATTCTATTGGGGTGGCACGCTGCGGAAAAAAATTTAAAAAAATAGTGTTACTGTATTACAATGACATCATTTCCACATGAACATAATATTACAGCAATACAGTTATTACTGGTAGTAAACTGAAAGAAAACTGTGTAAATGTAACACATTTTAGTCATTCATGAAGAATTAGAAATGATTCATTTATGTTGCATTCACTACTGGTTATACATAAGTCTACACACACACACACACACACACACATTGTCTAAGCCACTTTGGGTCATGTGGGTGCTGAAGCCTATCCCAGCGGTCATTGGGCAGAAGGCAGGAAACACCCTGGTCAGGCTACATAAGTCTAATGATTAGAGAGCTGGCCAGACAGCACTGTATAAGATTACCCACAACACATGCATGTATTTACTTATAATAGATTGTGATGGCAGATTTTCACAGTAAACAGTAATTGATGCTTTATTGATGATGGCTGGATGATAATGGTTGACTGTCTCACTGTCCATAATTGGGTGGCCATGCTTCATTCCAGGGTGACACTTGCCACCCCAGGCCACCCCTTGGCTTTACCTCTAGATCCAAAGTCCATAAATCCAGAAAAATATTTATATTTATCAAAAATGACTCAGATGAAGTTGAAGATCTATCCATTTCTACCTTTTTTGTATGACCACACATTATAAAAATGGCACTGGATGAACGAGTAAGACATTTTTTCCACATGTTAGAGTAATGAAATCACTGAAGGGCATTACTTTGACTGATATATTTAAACAACATTCATTGCATCATTAACACACAGTGCCATTGTGCCATATAAATCTTTCACCTACACGCTTTAATAAGAGATATACAAAATATCCTAACTCTGTTAGCTACATTCAAGAACATCTAATCCTAAGAAAGGTAGCACTGCTGCAAGTCTTGTTGCATCAAGAAGTAGCTGGAAGAAATACTGCAATTGAGATTTAGTACATTTCACACAATATGGTAGTGCAAACTATGACAAATGTATATTAGTTTGTGCATTAGAGTAATGTAATGCTCACTGAACACAAAATCATGCAGGTTTAACTTTATTGGAACTGTCCTGCCCCCCCCGGCTAAAGTTTGCTGCTACTGAGTTTGACTAGGGAGAGTGCAGATTCTTTTACTACCAGCCAAGTTGCAGTTTTCTGAAGCCTATTTTTGGGCTGAAGTACTTTCTCCTAGATAAGTGGGTGGAAGCATTCTGATAAGCCATTTATGTTTAAAAAACAGGGTGGCTCTTAGGGTGGCCACGTAAAATAGCCAGTGCCATGCCAGCCACCTTTCTGGCTTCACCACTGTTTCATAATGACTTGTCTTGATTTTTGCAGTTTGGGAGTGTAAAAAAGTGTAAAAGCACACAAAACAGATTTTAAGATATACTCGGCTCTGAGCAGATCTTTAAGATGATCTTCTTATATCTGTGGTTCTCTCTCTCTCTCTCTCTCTCTCTCTCTCTCTCTCTCTGTCTCTCTCCTGTGTGGTGTAGAGTATTGCGGGTCTCTCTGCTCTCCCAGCGTGTCTAAGTCCCCATATCTGCTGACAGTGGGTGAGGACCTGCTGCCTGGCATCTCTGTCATCTGGACAGGTCAGTGTGTTGATCTAAGAGCAGTTTATGTCTTTACCACTCCACTTAAAAGACCTACATGGACAGCTGATCCTAGTTTCACTCTAAAGCGCTTAATAAACAGGTTTAGTGTCTGTGTTGATAAAGAGTCTTTTATTGGTTGCTATGAAAGAGCTAAGCTAAGGCAGTAGTACTGTTCTACATTAGGAAAACATTGTTTACTGACACATTCAAAATACAGTTTATTCCAGTGCCTGGAAACATCTCACAGGTACTGTTAACAACTATATAGTTGTAAATGGTACAGTTATAGTAATATGTATAATCAGCTTATATCTTTGTACTGTTCATTCAGTATTACTCTTCCTTGTATTATGCTCATTTTAATGTGTATAAAGAGTGTAGAGGAGTTGTTTTGCCAAGTTCACAAAACTTGATGCTGTGGGTTGGATAAAATATTTTCATTATGTATTTGTCCTTTTCTCTTTTTGCAATTGTCTATGCCATTTTAAGGGCCTTCCCAATACTGTATAAGCTAATGTGAAGTTTTTTAGATGACCCCTTGAAGGAGGAGAGGTTGATGTCATTATAAATGTAGGCTTTGCAGAAATCATTGCAGTCTGATGTGATTTCTTAAACTTAAAAAATGGAAGACAGTGCTGTTTATAAGCCAGATCAATACAATGTTTTTAAAATAATGAATATTTAAAAATATAATGATCTGCTACTGTCAAACTGGGATGCGTACCATACAACTCTATTTGTTATTATTGACTGCTGGTGCAACTAAGATGTTTCATGGATGAAACATTGCTTTTTAACCAAAGCTGGCTTTAAATGGTGTAATTTTAATGCAGCTAGTTGATCTGATTAGTCAACTAATGAGGCTTATTAACAGGTTGTATTTTGTAATATTTTGTAATATCATTATGGCTATTTAAAGTCATCTTCAACATGATATATGCAGTTGCATATTTTTAGCATTTTTATCTTCTTTGTATAATTTTTTTCACCTGACATTGCCATTTTTTTATCGATGTATCTAATGTTCTGTATTAAATTTGTCACTCATACTCTTCTAGAAGCACTGCGAGTTCATCAAGGATCACATCACTGTCTTACCTGTAATGATTTGAATGAATGAGCTGTAACTGAGTGTTTGCCTTTAAGGAGTCCTGATTAACCAGTGTGTTTTTCTGTCTTAAATCTCTCCAACAGGGAGCAAGGTGATCTCACGGGAGCTGAGTGCTGATTCGCTGGTGGAGGTGCAGTCGGTGCTGCAGCGCCCTCCCCTGGTGTGGGACAATCTTCACGCTAATGATTACGATTCTCGCCGCGTCTTCCTGGGGCCTTTCAAGGGCCGGCCACCTGGCCTGCGGGCCCACCTCAGGGGTCTCCTGCTGAACCCTAATTGCGAGTTTGAAGCCAACTACATCCCTCTGCACACACTGGGGACCTGGCACAAAGCAGGGAAGGAGGAGAGAGAAGGTGAGAGAGGAGAGGAGGTGGCTGGAGAGGAAAGAAACGTTTGATGAGTGATGATGGGGTGCAGAAAATGGAAGGGAAGAAAAGGAGTGTGATGAAAGAGGACTGTGAGAATGAAGGAGGGTGTGAGATTGTGTGGGAAATGGAGGATTTGATTGTGTCAATGAAGGACGATATGTCCTGAAAGAAAGTGACAGTGGGTGAAAAGGGCAGTGGCACTCAAGTGAATCATAGAGGCATAGTGAGAAATGTGTTTGGTGGGTAGTAGCTGAGGGAGATGGAGATGGAGATGGAGGGAGGGAGAAAGAGAGAGAGAGAGAGAGAGAGATAGTGTTTCATGCTGTAATGAGGGCTGAAGAAGTGGAAAAACTGTGAACATCAAGGCCCTCGGGCCAGAGGTTAATCATCATGGTTAGAAAAGAGCAAGTGCCCAGTGACATAGTATGATTAGCTTTTTATCATCGAAAGGGCTCAGTGGACAAAACATACTCTGCACTCACACACACACACACACACACGCACACACACACTCAGTCGACCACATTCTGTGTCTATGGGGAGTTTCTGCAACACTAGTTTACTCTCTCTCTACCTACGATTGTTACACCCTGGTGATACACCCCTGGTGATATTTCCCACATCTGAAATAAACCTGTGAAATAAACTTTTATACATAACAGTATAAACCTGTGAAATAAAGCTTTGTGAAGGCACATGCAAATGTTTGAACTCCCACAGTCAAATGACGTTTTGTTGATTTTCTGAGTGAAAATACATTAACACTTCCTTTACAGGGAACAAACTTAAATATGGCATTTTTCTGCCAATTTCGGTGCACATTAATAAAATATAAAAGGTGCCATAACTTTTGCAAAGGCCACATTTTGTTTTTTATTCAATATATTAAATTAAAACATGTATGTACATGTAAAATGTGTTCTTTGCAGAGAATGTGTCAGCTGAGAAAATCAACTAAGTGTAATTTGACCGGGCCGCTCAAACTTTTGCATATGATTGTACATATCAATATATATCGTATTTTGGAATTTGTTCAAATGGGATAAAATGATAATTGGAAATCGTTCAGTTGAGATAAACTATACTTGCATGACTGTCTACTTGTAGGTCTTTGGGGGAAAGTTATGTTGGCAAAAATGTCAGCTCCATAAAAGAGCGGTATAATATAAATGGCAAGAAGGGTGGCATTAAAAAGAGCAAGTCTTTTATTTTTTTGTGATCAACTTTTTATTGCATTTTTTATTATGTTTTACAACAAGGGTGGGGAAAGGTAAGGGGGAGGGGAAGGCGGGGTGGTGACATACCTTTTTAGGAATACACACAAATCAAAAATAAAGCAAAGACAATACATAAACAACTACACCACTAAACAACATCACATAATTTAATTGGAGACTAAAGTGCTTGAATAGGGTCATATAAATTCTCCCAGTTTCTTATTGTTGACACTTTTGCCTTGTTAGGCTTAGCTGTAAGATACTCTGTCCTAACTATATTTTGAAAACTAGATATCCAGAATTTCATAGCTGAAAGTTGTGGGGCAATCCAAAGTTGCAAGAGAGTTTTCTTGGTGGCTGTAAAACCTGCCATCAGCATCCTTCTTGAATCAAAGAAAACTGAAGAGCTAAGGCATCCTTTAAAAGACATAAATGTGGCGACAGTGGAATACTGACATCAAGTACTTTAGATAATATATCTACCGTCCATATATCTGCTACTTTAGAACATTCCCAGAATATATGCATAAATGTACCAGGTGCAGAGTTACAAATGTTATAGGTATGACTAGAAATACGTTTCATTTGACATCTCCTGTAAGGTGTTGCGTATGCTCTGTGAATTATTTTGTAATGGATAAACTGATGTACCAAATTTTTAGAGGAGTGACTTAAATTAGCCCATATAGTGTTCCAATCCACAGAAGGACCAGTAGAGGAAAGCTCTCATTCCCACAGTTGTTCGACTGCCAACTGCTTTATATGACAAAGTTTTGTAAATAAACGATACTCTGCCCCGTAGATTGTGCAAAGGTCTTATCCAGTCTAGCAAGGGGTGAGAGTTGAGAGTGCTGCCCCAGGGAACTCCGTAGGCTCGAAGTGCAGAACGAAGTTGTAAATAAACAAAGTATGAAGTAGTTGGAGGATTAAAAAGCATCTGAAGCTTCTGAAATGACAGCAAACCACTATCGCCACACATGTCCTCTACTGTATTTATACCTTGAGAGGACCAAAGAGGATTATAAAACGGTTTACCCCCAATCAAAATCTTGTAATTATTCCATAAAGGAGTCTGTAGACAGATTTGGAGTGGAACGCCCATAAATCTCTCCACTTTTCTCCAGATACTCAGGGAGTCAGACATTATACAACCCAAACTTGAATTACGATTTGTCCTACCATTTCCAGTAAACAGTCTTGTAATCTATGAGGTTTTGTTAAAGATTCTTCAGTGTATCTCCAAGGACTGTTGGTCTATCAATACATAGAGAGCTCTCATTTGAAATGCCTCGTGATATTACTTAAAATTTGGAAGGGAAAGACCACCGTTTAGTTTAGATTGCTGCAAAGTAGTTAAACTTATTCTAGGGCGTTTACTGCTCCATATGAATTTAGAAATCATTGAGTCAATATCTTTGTAAAAATTTTGTGGAGGAGGCAAAGGTAACATAAAGAACAGAAAATTAAATCAAGGGAGTATGTTCATCTTTACTATATTAACCTTGCCTTGTAGTGATAATGGTAGATTATTCCATCTCTGAATATCTAATTAGACTTAATGTCATGCAGAACTTCAACAAAATTCTCTTAAATAATTCTTATATCCAGGTATATTTTAATACCCAAGTGAGTAAAGGAATCCCTTGTGGGAATACATGATGGCATGACAGCCGAACCTGCTGAAATATTAAGTGGCATCAGTATAGATTTGTCCCAATTAATTTTTTATCCAGACAGGCTTCTGAAGTCCTTAAATAACTGTAAAAAAAGAGTGATTGAGGATTCGATTTTGAATAAATAAAGAAGTATATCATCAGCAAAAAGTGAAATATGGTGAGCATGACCGTGAACAGTTATAGGAGTTATGAGGTTATTCTGCCTGTTAATTTGTGCTAAAGGCTCAAGACAGAGAGAGAAAATGACCGGAGATTAAAAAAAAAACAGTAAAATGTCAGAAATGTACAATGTGCCTAGGAAAAAATAAACACCTGTAAAGGTTACAGCAGATGTGTTGTATAATGTTGACACTGACCTGTGTGGGTGTGTGTGTTTGTTAGGTGAAGAGCATCAGTACTGTCCCGATCAAGCTCTTTCCGCTGCGCTGCAAGACTGGATGGATGAACTGAGTCAGCCGCTACAGCCTGGTACTGACTCACCTACAGCCTTTTAACACCTACCACTCACACACCGCAGACACACAGCTTACTGTTGAGTTACATATCAGTTTTTCCCAATGCAAGAGGTAAATGTTATATGCATACTGTAAATGCATTGTGCACCGAAGCAAAATAAATGTACATCAAACTTAATTTTTTGCTATACTAATTTACTGTAGCTTTAATCCTAATCTTGTTATCTATAGTATTTGTGATAATTCAACCAAAGCCCAAATTTTGCTATTTAAAACTTTTTTTAAAATTTAAAATATCAAATAAAATGACTATATTTGTGTTATAGACACTGCTACCCCTGGTTCCTATTACAACCATAAACTAATTCAAGATGGTAAATTTCTTTATAATGCACCATCTCACATAAAATCCCTCTGAATGACCCCTCATTACATCCCACTAACTGATTTATGCAGAAATTTTGAAAAATTGGTGGAATACTACAAGTAGAAGTATTAATAAAGGAAATGACTACAAGCAGAAATATTAATAAAGGAAATTACTTACGTAAAAGTATATAAATAGTTTACTGAAAGCTTGAGTACTTACTTTGAATTACTTTTTTAGATATTAACAGTCACAAACTGCAAGTATTTCTGAGTGGACTTTGGACAAAGTTTTGCGTCCTGACAGTCCTGGTCACAGTATTCGCCACTAGTTCACATTTACACATCTTTCTTTGTACTGTATAAGGGACAAGATCTGCATTAACCTATAAGCATTCCTCCTTAGATGATTAAATACTGCTTCCTAGTTTATCTGTTTAGAATAAGTCGATTTTTTGCTTTGGCTTTAAAAAAAGCAAAGAGTATTTGATTAAATGTCAAATGAACAAGTAGATTATTCAATTAAAAATATATTTTTTAATGACAGACAAGGACAAAAAAGGACACAGTACCTGTCTAGCTAAGACTAGTTAGCCAGTCAGCTAATTACTGGTATTCTTTGTCACTAAAGTAGCAAACTAGAGTGTGCTTTCTTAAGGCTGTGACACTAGCCACACACATTGTGACCGTAACTTACCCTTGAGTTCTCTCTTGTATCCGATTGCACAGCTGACTAGCTAGCTTAACTGGTTATCTACATTAGATTTTTATAAATAATATTTGTTATTATGAATAAGGATTAATGTTTCATTATTTAGCCTAGGTTAGCTACAATAGTCTCGTACCTCCAGTGCAAACTAAAGAAACATGCTTCGTCTGTTGACTATGTTTTGAGTAGGGAGGAAATTGCATGAATTCTTTTTGCTCCATTTTTACTTTAAGAGCCAATTTTCTTTCAATCACAGATTGTCCTAGTAGAGGAGAAGTGGAGAATGTCCACTGGCAGTGTTATTTAGGCTAGCATGAGCTTAATCTGTGTTCTCTCTCTCAGGTCGGCAGATCAGGCCTACAGAGCACAGGTCGTCAGGCCCCTCCTCCAAACACAAGCCTTCTGACAGCTCAGACAATCAGCATGGGGCTCAGTCCAAACCTGCCTCCACAGCGGGGGCCTGCTCCGCCCAGTCACATAAACCTTCAGCTGCTAGGAAAGAGACAGTGGCGGGGCCCCTGCGGAGTGAAGAGCGGGCTCCTGGGGGCCACAGTCGAGAGAAGGCGCCAGGAAAGGGCCTGTGTGCTGGGAAGGGTCCGCTGAGCGAGGCGCAGGTGCGACTGCTGGTGGGCCTGTACTACCTGCCGCATGAACACGGTCCACCAGCCCAGAGCCTGCTGCAGGACCTCACCTGGCTCAAAGCCAACTGCCACTACGTCAGTGTCAATGGCAACGGCAAGAAGACCCAGCCACAGAAGGTCACTATAAGTGGTGATGATAATAGTGTGGATGTATGAGAGATGGAGAGATGGAAAGATGGAGATCATTAATATAAAACCAAATTCATTGCAGGTTTAATTATTCTAACATGCTAATCCTGTGCAGCATCACAGGTTTCAAATGATCAGTAGGAAGACGTAAAAAAGTAAAGAAGAATGATAAAGCTTTAGATTATTGCAAAATTAAAGCTGTATAGCTTCAGTAATTAAGTTATAATAAAATGAATATTTTAAATGCTTTTTATTTGAAAATCTCAGGGCAGATAACTTGTAAATACACAATAACAGTATTAATTATCATTTAATAATTTCATGTTTAATAAAATACAAGTAGGAAAAATAATTTCTCTTTTTTCCTGAAATATTGAACAAAACATCCACAAATACCCTTTAATATCTACTTTATGTATAAATCTACAATATATGTTATTGTTTAATTAACTATTAATTATAAAATCATTGATATGTGTTTCCAAACTTTCGAACAGTAGTGAATTTTTCCCTCTCTCTTCTGTTTAGTACCGTGTGTTTTACTTTTAAATGTCACCCTCTAACTATCTTAAACTCTCTTTTAAATATGAGTTATCCTCCCACTCTTTGCACGTTTTGTAAGCTGCTTTGGAAAATGTGTTTTTCAAACTGACCTTTACTAGTCTATGAATATTTTCCAAAATGCTGCCTAAGCACCTCTCTTTTAACTCAATTTTCTGTCTTTTTTTTCTAATAAATCTCTCCATCCCCTCTCTCTGTCAGGTGGAGGAGTGGCGGGCGAGGGCGGGCCGGTTTCTGGCTGCGTGTGATGAGATTGCTGCGCTGCATGGCTGTGTGGTTAACAGCGTGAACAGGGCTGTGCTTTATGACCTTTACCCCTACGTGTGGGATCTGAGGAACACCATACTAGTAGCCAAGGCCTTCATCAGCTGGCTGGGTGAGAGAGAGAGAGATATATACAGGAAAGATTAGAAAGAATGGAGGAACGGAGAACATGCATGACTTGTAGCAGGAGTTATGCTGGTTTTGATTAGCAGTTGATGTTAGAGGTATCACATATAAAAGTGATTTACAGAGTAACATTCTCGCATGACATGGGTTTTACCATATTGTGGATGCCAAGAAATGCTAAGACACAAACAATCCCACCTACAATCAGGGAAGTGAAAAGTTGTTTTAAGTTGGGGCTGCTGAAATTTTTAGCAGCATATAAGGGATGAACATTTTGACCTCATGGCAAATACTCTGAATTGTTCTTTTTCCTCTTTCATTTGAATTGTTTTGAGAGAGACAACAAGATACAGTTGTACATGTGTAACCGTTGCAGCAGATGCACAACCTGCTGTCTCTGCTCTGTCTTACTAGACAAACTTTATGCAAATAAGCTCAGCAAAGGCCAATCAGCTTGTTGATCAGAGGCTTGAAATGCCATAGTCATGCTAGTAGGAGATTATTAAAATGAATGAGAGAGAGATTATTGTTTTGGCTTAATTTTTTTTAAACCAATATCAGGCCGCTTCAGGGCACAGAACTAGCCTGTATCTCCTGCTTGTGATGTAGAGACGCCCCCAAAGTGACATGCACAAGTTACATGACCAAGGTGGCCAACAGTTGATGAGGGAAGCAATTCACTTCGCTCTAAAATGCAGTGTTTTTTAACAGTACATGGCTACTGCAGATTTTGAACATATATGAAAACAACAAAGTTAAAATACAAACTCTGCTGTACCAAAAAACACAAGGATTGCTTTTTTCCTTTTTTTATAGTTGCAGTAAAATATTCCTGAAATGTAGGGGTGCTACAGCCCACTTTACCCCCCCCCACTTCCCACATCCTTGTCTACAATACAAAATAAAATTTAATTAAAAAAAAATTTAATTCAACAAAATGTATGACACACCATTTGACCATTTACAGAACTATTCAAATGAAGAGTGTCCTATTGACAGATTATTACTTTGCAAGAATAGGTTTCCTTATTTATTCTTTTTTTGGACTCATATAATGTGGAATAACACATATGTGCCTATGTGGAATAACAAGGTGCCTTTGTTAGCTATAGCAAGGTGTGAACTTTGAGAGACCAACTGTGAGCTGCAAAATACAGTATAGGATGAGCAAGGAGGCAAAAGATAACAGGATTGAGGTTGAAGGAGGGAACTATATCATGATATATCATTATTGCCTAGACACTGACAGATATTGTGATTATAAAGGTCATATCGCTCCCCTCTACCAAGCAGCTGCTGTATGACAGCGCTCTTTTACTGCTTTCTTTGATCCTTATATTTTTCACTTTTTTCTCCAACTCACTTTCTTTGTACCTCTGCCCTTTTTTCTTAGTCTTTCTTTTTCTTTTTCTTCAGAGGGGCGTGTGATGAGTGAAAGTTCTTCACTGGGTTCCTGGAAGAACTGCTTCCACTGTGAGTAGAGCTCGTTATGCCTTGCTGTCATAGCCATTTTACAACTCAGCTCCAAAAAAATTGGAACAGCAGGTAAAATGCAAATAAAAACAGGCTTTTGAACTTTGCATTGGTAACAATGATCCTTTTCCTCTTTGGCCCGGAGAACACAATGGCCATTATTTCCAAAATAATTTGAAAGGTGGACTCCTCAGATAACGTCACGTTTCAACCTTACATTAGTCTATTTCAGATGAGCTTTAGCCCAGAGAAGTCGGCAACGTTTCTGGATGTTGTTGATATATGGCTTCCACCTTGCACAGTAGAGACTTATCTTGCATTGTTAATGCAGCAATGAACTGTCTTTACTGACAAGGGTTTTCCGAAGTATTCCCAAGCCTGCTGTTTTTTTAATGCAGTGCTATCTGAGAGTTGAAGGTCACAGGCATTCAGTATTGTACGTCTTGACGTTTACTCACGGAGATTTCACTGCATTCCCTAAATCTTTTTATTATAATATGCAGCATTAAGGGTGAATCTTTTGATTATATTATGCACCATTAAGGGTGAATCTTTTGATTATATTATGCACCATTAAGGGTGAATTACCTCAAATCTTTGCAAATGCTCATTGGGGAACATTGTCCTTAAACTGATGTCGCATTTTTTGGCTAAATGGTGAGGATTGCTTTAACCCATCCTCGCTCATAAAGGTCACAGGCCTTTCCTGGATGCTCCTTTATACCCAAGATTCACCTGTTTAAGATGTTTTCTTGTCCTAAATTGACCATATCCCAACTTTTTTGGAACGTGTTGCAGGTATCAGTTTCAGAATGAGTGTATATTTATAAAACATAATGTAATTCAAAAGGTAAAACATTATCTTTTCATTGTGTTTTCATTTAAAGGAAAAAGTAAGTTTACAAATCACTTTCTAGTTGTACAGTTTTCAAGTAATTACAGGTCAAAAAGGATTTGCAGATCAGTGCTTTCTGTTTTTATTTACATTTTAACTACTGTCCCAACTTTTTTTGTGCTGGGTTTGTACATGACACTATCCATTTTTCCAAAAACTGAGACTAAGGAGCCTCTTCTGAACAGGGTGTGGGGCCTCATCGGGGGCGGAGCTTCTAGGTGTGGAGGCAGAGCCCTGGGTGTTTAAAGGGGGACTCTCAGGGGAAGTACAGGTATGATCAACATCATGCATGTAGTGTAGATATGTAGCATAATATTTGTTTGAACATGACTTGTTTTTCCCTTTAATCTGTATTCTCCTTTAATAACACCTTTAATAACATGATTCTCAAAGCTGATCTACATTTACTTTGGTATGTAAAGAACATTATCAGACAAAGCTGAACATTTACTCAGAAACTATTGCAGTGCATCCAACAATAAAAGCATAATGGTGCTTCATTTATACAGTGATATACAACATAGTAGCGCATAGAAAGCTCCAGTTTCACAGGCAGATCCATTTTTCTATACCCAGTTTGGATGAGCACACAGCACAACTATTCTGGAGGCAAATTTAAATGAGTTAAACAGGACATCGCCATAACCCCTTCTCTCGTATTGCTGACGAGACGTTAGATAACACAGGGTTAATCTTGGCCTCTCTCTCTCTTTCTCTCTTTGCGCTGTCCAACTGGAGTAGATGCTTCTTCCTGTAGGCACCAGCAGTGAGCTGTTCAGCCACCCTCCTCCTCTCTTCCCCACCTCTCGCCTCTACAACATACGCCCCTTCCAGCACAAAGACAAGGTGAGATATATACATACACACACATAGATGTCTACACACTTTAGCACACACTTTCGCATATAGACAGTCATAAGCCAGAAAATTGTTTAAAATCATTTATTTGGGCAATATGTTTGTTGTTGCTTGTAAAAACACTGCATACATTTTTAAATAAATAGAAATGGACATTAATAAAAAATAACAATTTCTTCTTACTGTTAATTATTAATTAATAAGTTTTTATTTATATCTTTGGTCTTTGGATCTGTCAATGCATGGATTCGTATCATAAATTCCATCACATGCATGCTTGATTTAACTTAATTAAGTTATGGGTGTCAAACAGTTTACCCATATTAAATGTTTTGTTTGCAATTTGCTCAGAGCACCACCTCACTCTGTACTCTCTCTCTCTCTCTCCCTCTCTCTCTCTCTCTCTCTCTCTCTGACTGCCTTTGATTATATTTGTATGTGTATTTAACTGTGCTGTGAAGGAGGCTTTTTAGCTGTTTAACTGTCAAACAAAGCAAAAATACATTTCTGATTCTGCATGAAGTAATTAGTATGATTATCAGACATCAGATTATCACAGTAAAGAAAATCAAAACAGGATAAATTGCTGTTGTTGACAATGATTTCTATCCTAGAAATGTTCTGTAAGGTGCTGCTCTAGAAGTTGAGTAAACCTTATATTCACCAATGTGAAGTGTTGATTAGCTGAACTAGGTACTGAATAGGTACTACATATAACTACAAATATGTGCAGTATTGTGCACTTTTCACGGTATTGTACATACACTCACACATACCCACAAATTATTGTCCAAAAGTGTTGTTGAAAACAGCAGCTAGGAGAGCTTTAAATGTAGCTAATGACTTAAATCAGGTATGTCACATGCACACTGCTGTTGCGCTGTCTTCACTCTAATGTTTGTGTTCTTATCTTCCATACCACCAGGTGGAGCTATACCGCATGGTGCGTCAGCTACATCAGAGGGCTAGAGGTCCTCAGGACTCTGCTCTGGCCCATCCAGACTTCATTGGTGACAGGTTACATATGTTTATGTGAAAAACACCTTGACAGAGAGTAACATCCCTGTAAAATTCCTGGACACTCGATCTATGGCTTGAATTTTGGCTAAATTCAGCAGACAGGTCGCTGTGCTCCCAATGCAGTCTAAGGTAAATAGATGTCAGTTTAGTTACAGAAACTATTCTTCTCAGTGTTTGCGTTGAAGTGCTGCCTGTTGCCTAAAGATGTGGTGCACCCTTCTAAAACAGTTTTCCCTACATTAAGAGAAATCTGAGCTTATAAAACCCATTGTATACAAGTACTTTGAGGTTTAAATTCATGAGGTTTAAACAAATGAAAATACTTGGATTCCTGGACATTTTGTGTCCAAACACCTGGACTATTCAGAGAAATTCTGGATGGGTGACAACCCTAGCAATGTCACCCCCTTAATTTCAAATAACTCCACACATAGTTAACTTTACAAAATGGTCAAAAATGGGAGTGACACATTAAATGGGAAGGCAGGTGGGTGCTAATATACAACACAACAGAACAAACAGAGAAGGTAATAATACAATTACAGTACAGATGAAATACAAGCATGCCTTAACAAAACAGGTTCACACTCTAGGACTGAACTATGTAATTCAGGTCTATAGCACCATTAAACCAGAGGGGGTGCTGCAGACACTGAACTGACCATGATGAGGATTTCATTTTGACAAATTGAAAAGTGTTAACACTTCCACTAGATTGATGTCATTTATTATTACAAAGCAAAGCACTCCAGTTTTTAATGGAAAAATATGCTTTAGGGTGAAATTACTCTTTAAATCAAAATAGCGCACTGCAGTCATCTTGGCAGTTTCAGGATGGGGGGATACTACTAATGTTTGTGTCTTCAGGTGTCTGGGTGCGTCCTTGGCGCTGTGCCCAGAGTACAGCTTTGTTCTGGAGGATGAGCTGGGAGTGTGTGGGTGTGCTGTTGGCATTCTTGACGTGCGCTCCTTTGCCAAGCGGTGTCAGGCCTCCTGGCTGCCTGCTATGAGAGACAAATACTCTGCGCGTCCACACGGAACCAACGGACACACTGCTACAAAGGTCAGAGTCCAACTCAGGACAGCCTAATGTGCAGCTATGATGTCTTATATCATCACCAAACAAAACCATAACTTTTTTGTTAATATAATTTGAAAATGCTACGGCTACTGTTTACACTGACTGCTAGAAAAAAAACAGCATAGACCAGCATTGCCAGTTGCCAGAAAAAACAGTATGTGTTGTGTTTTGGATGCTGGTATGCTGGTCTGGAGCAATGGAAGTTAATATACTGGTAACCACCAAAACCGGCATATGTTGTATTTTAACGCTGGTATTTTGGTCAGCCAGCATGACCATGCTGGGGTGACCAGCTAAACCAGCTCCAAGTCAGCAAAGACCGGCCTTGATCTGCGGTTGGCTGTGCTGTTTTTTTTAGCAGGGCTGTGTCAAAGTTTCATTATGAATGGACCAACTGAAATGGTCCAAAATGACTTTGAATAAAATCTTGTTGCATTAATGTAAATTGAAAGTTGAAAATGTTTTTTCATTCTCCCTTAAAGTTACTTTACGAGATATGAGCTTTTGTTCCAACAGCAACAATATAAGCTTCTTTAATATTTTTTCAAATATCCAAATGAAGGCATGTAGAAATAGATTAAATCATATTTCATTATAATATTCTTACAACAACCCCATAGTGTGAAATATTATATACATAGATTAAAAGACTAGATTTAATATCATTTGCTTAGATATCTTTTTTTTTTGTAGTGTAATAACTGAATAATAAATCTAAGGTTTAAGGGGTAAGTGCTATAGAGTAGTAGTGTTCAGTTCAGTTCTGTATTGTTAGACAAAAGCTCGCACTGTATACAATGCACAGAAATGTGCTTGTTCTCTCAAACACGTACAGAACATTCACCATTTGCCTCCCTCTCTGGGTGTGTTTCTCCTGTGTGCCTGCAGGAGGCACTGCAGAGTTTTCTTGAAGAGCAGGATTATCCAGACTCTCTGCTGTACCACTTCCCCTCTCAGCTGCGGCTGGAGGCTCTGCCTGAACTGGTCGACTGCAGCGTCAGCAGAAGCCTCCTCACCTCCCTGCTCACAGCACTCAAAGCCAACGGTGAGAGAGAATGGGAGAAAGAAAGAAAGGGCTCACCTTTCAGTTTCACCCAGTATTGCCTTAGACCTCTGAAACTGTGTTGTCATTCAGTGATATGCTCATATAAGGAACTCTGGGTCTAAGCAGATTCATCTATGGGAAAAATGATTGGTGTTTTCAAAAAACCCTGTGCCCTGTGATAAACAGGCCAAAATGTTCCAAACTCAATAGGTTTTGCCATGTGTACATTTACAATACAGTTGCTTTAACAGTAGTAGGCAACAGTTTGAGTAGCTAGTGTTGGTATATAACAGTGTTGAAGTTTGTGATAGTAGACTTGCTTTCACATGACATCATTTCAATGTGCAGGAGTGTTAGCTTGAGTATATCATGTATGTAGCATTAGTCATGTTTTGACTGCTAAACGACACCATAATTCAGATAATCCAGTGAAACTTCAAAGGTTCTATTCTTAGTATCACCAACAGTTAACATTAAGGAACTTACAACACTTAGATTATGATTTTGTAAAAAAAACATGGTTGTTTAGGAAAGCATGAAATCTCAAATTTTATGACAGTTTGATTTGATTGCAGTACTTTGGTCTTATTCAGAATTATTGACATTTACAAATATCACTGGAGGAACTATTTACACAGTAAATCACAGACAAAAATAGAAGCTTTTTCATTATTTTTTTACCAATTTCTGAACAGAAAACAAAATGAATGCATAGGTAATTGTCAGTTATTATAACACCTTGTGTTATAAGAAAGGTGGTGGTGGATGGAAAAGGTAAAAAGTATGGGTTCAAGATTTTGTTCCTACTAAAAATTTAACCCGGTGTTTGGGGCTTGATTGGCCAGTAATTTTGATTTCTATTGCCAAAGATCATGTTACAAAGTTTGTAAATAAAAGAAACAATAAAATAAGACACTGAACATTGTAGAACCATTCAAAACTCTCTTTCTCTGTTTCTCTTTATCTCACTGCAGGCTCCCAAGGTGTGTTTTGCGAAGTGCAGCCCACAGACCGTCTGAGGCTGGAGTTCCTCACTAAACTGGGCTTTCTGGAGATCTTGCGGGGGGAGGCTCGCTCCACAGAAGGGCTCGTTCTTGGCAGACTGCTCTAGAGCCTTAATCAGCCTATGAATGACCACCAGGGACCTACATGGACTTTTCTGACAGAGATACAGCAAAGGGCTCTGAAGTTAGAGATTAAAGGAATACTCTAGCATTTCACCTCTGTAGTATATGCTTGATTGCTATGGACAATAATATTACATTTTCCTTTTTTAAAAGAAACAGAAACAAAAAATGCATTGATTACAGAAAAAGCCAGAGGAAAATGTGCTTCAGCAGCAGCCCTTTGACTTTTATTATAAGTATGTTTTGAATGCACAGATTTTCTGTTCCTTTTTAAGTAAAGGAAAATTATTCTCCATGGTAATTGACTTTATGCTATATAAGCAGCAAATAGAGATTAGGTTGAAAAACACAGGGTGTTCCTTTAAGTAAAAGGGCCGAGTTCAAGGAATATCTCATTCAATCTCATTCATTGTTAGCCATGTTAGTTTTGGGTGAAGTATAACCCTGATTTTTGCAGTAAAGACCTTGTTTAGGGCTGAAGGGTTGCTTCCCCCAAATATGCGGTGGCCGACAGCTGAAAGCATGTAATAATGAACATCTTCGTCAGAACAGTTTATTTAGAGTCTACCTACAGGACTGAGCAGAAGAGTTAAACTGGGCTTAGATCAAGCTGGTCCTGGGGCAGCAATTGCAGGTACGAGGGTCCCCATCAGCCCTCTCTGTTTACCAGGGCCTGTGTTCATAAAGAGTCTGGCAGTACAAGCACTGATCTGCAGACACTCTGGTCCTCAAAGGGCTAGTATGGGTCCAAGATTTTGTTCCTACTAAAAATAGGGCTGGAACTGACAATTATTTCTGTAATTGATTGATCTATTACCCTTTATTCAATTAAGAGATTAATTGAAGCATTATCATGCAGTTTCCTCTTACTTTGTCTACTTCATAGCCTTACCCCAGCTGGTGCACTTGCAGTCCTCATTTGTGTGTGCTTGCACGGACTGGTATCCCATTAAAAGAGTGCTCACAAGCAGCCTCTGTGCAACCTGTAGGCAAGTCTGCAACAATGCAGATTCAGCTGCTTTCCAGTCACACCAGTGTTTCAGAAGCATATTTGAAACCACTGGTAACAAAAATCATACAAACACTTTGTGCTGTTTGGCTCAAATAATGCACAAAAATGTTTTTTTTCCAGGTTGCTCTGGCATATATCACAGCAAGATGATTTTCTAAATACACCTTTACCAGCAAGGCTCTATTTATTGAAAGGCTAGACTTTCCATAATACAGCCATTATCGAGCATTATGAGCTCATGTTTCAACCAGTGAACTGAACTTGTGCTTCTTTGTGCTTTTACATGCATCGCCTGTACATCACACGAGTCTTTCCCAAATGCATGCTTTTAAACCAGGTGAGCATGAGCACTCTTGCCCTATACATACACATGTTGTTAAGGCAACCAAAGTTCTGACTTGAAGGAGGGCGGCAGGGCTGAGGGCACATTTGGGACTAAAGTTCTGTTTGTGCAACCAGCAGTTTCTTTTTTATGGTGCAGTGAAACAATAGAAGCCATATTGCCTGTATGGTTCCACTAGTGTACGGCAGTCTGTTAGAATGACAGTGTGGATTGTATAAACATTATAGAGCATTATAGTATTTTAAGTATGACATTTTCCATTATCAAACTTGTCTACATGGGTAATCGACTTTGTTGACTAATTATTGCGGGCCACAGTAACACTGAAAATTACTAGATTCCATTTAACACTTACCCTTTGTCCAGTTGGTAAGTCTGATTCCTTTATAGTGGCTCTACATGTGTGGTTGATGTCACTTGGAGACAAAGGCTATTAATTATTTGAATTATGCATGTTGCTGTTTGATAGGAACAAAAGCTTGGACCCACACCAGCCTTTTTATGAAGAAAACTGGCCACCGTTGGTCTGCATTCATCTTGTTTACTGTGTAATAGCAATTACAGGAATCTTTGCCTCTGCTCTAGATTCTTTATGAATAACACCCCCTGATCACTACATCTTTACCCAATTCAGTTTGATTTAATTCAGTTCACTTCTTTCTGTTGGTTTCTTTAATGAACTGGTCACTTCTCCAGTGGATCACTATTCCTAGCTTTTGGTGATGATGTGTAGCTTGTTATGAGTGGTTACAAGCTTGTGTGTTGGAACTGCTGATCACTTTAGGAGCCTAAAGCACAATGACTAGGTTGTTGTATATGGTGGTTAGGATGTTGTAGGAGAAATAACACTGAAATAACACTGTCAGCTCTACTACCCTTTCTATTTTATCATGTACATACAAAACATACACAGACATACAGTCACTGATTACTTTATTAAGTACTCCTACCTTGTATCTATGCTCATTGCCCATTTTATCAGCTTTATCAGCATTAATTGGTAGCCTTTCTTCACCGTATTCATAATGCTCCCCCACAGGACCACTACAGAGCAGGTATTATTTGGGTGGTGGATCATTTTTAGCACTGCAATAACACTGACACGGTGGTGACATATTAGTGTAGTCCATATTAGAATAGTCCACCAACCAAAAATATCCAGTCAATATCCAGTCCTGTGGGCAGCGTCCTGTGACCACTGATGAAGGACTAGAGGATGAAAAACACAAACTGTGCATCAACAGATGAGCTATCGTCTCTGACTTTACATCTACAAGGTGGACGAACAAGCAGGTGTGTCAAATAAAGTGGACAGTGAGTGGACACAGTGTTTAAAAACTCCAGCAGCACTGCTGTGTCTGATCCACTCGTATCAGCACAACACAAACTAACACATCACCACGTCAGTGTCACTGCAGTGCTGAGAATGATCCACCCCCCAATAATACCTGCTCTGTGGGGGTACTGACCATTGATTAACATGGGAAAGGGTTGCTAACAGAATATACAGAGAAACTTATGAACTACAGTGTAATCATAGAAATAAAGAGTGCCCCTAAAGTACTCTGCAGAAGTCAGAGACCAAATTTCATTTATTCAATTTACAGTGAAAAAGGCTATTAAGTTCAAGTTATTCTTTTTTCAGGTTCTGAATTCTAACAGAAAATTACACCGAAGCCTCACTAACCAAATATAATATTACATGATATAAATACAAAACAAAGAAATCTGCAGGGATATTTTTCTACACCTCCAGTTCAGTCTTAGAAGTTGATTGTATTGTTCACTGATGTTGAGGTCTGGACTCTGGGGTGGTCAGTCCATTGTTCTGAGAACACCAGCAGCTTCTTTGTTCTTTTAATTATTTTTTGAGCTCCAGTTTTGGGAAATATCACTTATGTTCTTGCGTAAGTTCTTAATAAAATTTAATCTCCTAAGAAAGATCTGAAAAATGAATAGCTTGTATTTAAAGGCTGTTTTAACTGGAAATAACATAAATGAGGGGTGGTTTCTAATTTTGCACGGTACTGTATATAGAATGGACAGTGGCGTAGATACAAGGTAAGTGTGCTTAATGGCGTGCTTAAAAGTGACCAGTGACTATATTTACCTTAACGTTTGAGTCATACTATACAATGACAATACAAAAAGGTAGATGCTCTTTCTTGCTTTCACTCATTTGTTCACTCACACACACACGGTGCGTAAAGTGTATTAAATAAGGTCTTGGTCTAATTCCTACAGGAGGTAACATGATGAATCACTGAATGCCACTATGAGCTTTTTATAGCTCACCTTTTTCTGCAGAGGATACTTCACTACCTACACACACACACACACACACACACACACACACACACACACACACACACAAGTGTATAAATATCTCTGTGAAGGAGAACTATTATCATCACTTTGAACCCCCTTACTGCATGCACACACACACACGCATTCACAGAGAACATCATGTCTGCTCACGGTTCTCTTTTACCAATAGCTCATGATTGCCATAGCAACTAAAACTCATAGGTCATACAGCTTTTTTATCTCCTGCTAGATATTGTTTTGTTAGAAATTTGCCATCATTATTTCATTACAGTTAAAGGATGGTGTTATTTTGCATGTTGGCATTCTTGATGTTGTGTTTCACTTCACTTTTGCACTGATTTTTTGGCTGGTTTTAATATTGCTGCCATGGTTTGTTTACTAAAAGGCCTCAGACTGGGCTAATAATGATATTGTATTGATAATGTAGAATCCTTTATGTTGGATGTTTTTAAAAGTTCTTTAAAAGTAACGGTTAAACTTTTTTGTACTGGAATGAAGTCTGTTTACAGTACTATTAAAAGCTTTTTGTTTGAACTCAAGCTCAGCCTTTATATGGCTCATTACAGTGCAGTACAGATGTTGGACAGTTTTTTTGACATTTACAAGTCATTACGATTGTAAACAGTTATAGCATGGCTACATTTTTCTTCTATGTTTGTACCACTCGTACACATTTGAGGACGGACTAGTTTTACACTGTAAAAAATCTAAATATATATGTACATTGCACTGCTGTTAACCCAACAACACTGGACGCTGCAGAGACCGCTAACTTCAGAAGACCTCATAATGGCTCTAAATTGCCGTACAATTTTAACCATACACAATTTTTCTTACTGTGTAGGAGACTAGGAAGAACAAAAACAACACTGAAAAGAACAATTCAGCATTCTGAAAGAGTGACATTGTTTGAACAGGCTGTTATAATGTCAGGAAAATGGATAGACAGCCATGATAAACTTCCTGAAATGGAAACAGCCTAAAAAAGAACAACCGAATTCTGAACTGAATGCAGTCACAAACCGAACTAGCTTTACAAATTTTTAACAACTTTTTATTTTTTTATTTTATCATTAGCTTTACAATGTCAGCAGTTTGAAAACCACTTAACCAAATGTAATGTAACACACCCAGCACAGACCTTAGTACAGTGAACGTTAAGTATTACTGACTGTTGAACAGCCTTTCATGTCTATTATTTCTTTATTCTACATGCATGTTTTCGTCTGTTTGTTTGGGTTTTTTTCACCTCTGAAAGCTGAGCAAAGTACTCATCCTACGCTGCCCACTCCAAACTGTCCAGCATTACACTGGCTCTGTTGTTCTTGAGGAATGGCTCACTTTTCCTCCAGAAATTCTTTAAATGTGAAATGTGTATAAGTACATTCCATGAGAGCTAAAGCCTAACAAAAGGCAAGAGGATAAAAGGCAGCCCTGTTACAGCACCATCTGTATGCTGGTGTTGCCATCAATAATGTGTGTCAGCTTAATGTTTGCAATTTCATCCTCACCCCAAATTTTATTGATCAGCTAAGACATGCACTGGAGCTACAAGGCTAATGAAGCTAATGAGTGATGGAAGTTCATACTGCCCTAATTAGCACTGTGCTGTATGGCACTGCATGACACGCTGTCATCAATAAATACGGACAAGTATGGACACAAAATCCAGGCTTCAGGAAGACCGCAGCTACTACTGTTTGTAGATTTACAACTTACTTTTCTCTGTTTTTATTGATGTCATACGGTGTCAGAAACTACAGAAGTATTTGAGATTGCTAAACATGGATTGAAAAGTGTGTAATAATTTAGACATGGAGTTAGCACAGTGCTAATTGGAGAGCTCTAAGCTTCCATAACTTGTTAGCTACATTAACTTTGTACCTGCAGCACAAAACTAAATGAGCAAAAAACTTATAGGTCATACAGCTTTTTTATCTCCTGCTAGATATTGTTTCCTTGGAGATTTGCTATCATTATTGCATTACGGGTAAAGGATGATGTTATTTTGCATGTTTGCTTTCTTGATGTTGTGTTTCACCTAACTTTTTGCACTGATGGCTGGTTTTAATATTGCTGCCATGGTTTGTTTACTAAAAGGCCTCAAATTGGACTAGTAATGATATTAAATGTAGAATCCTTTATATTCATTTTAAAGGTTCTTTAAAAATTATGGTCAAACTTTTTTGTACTGGAATGAAGTCTGTTTACAGTACTATTAAAAGCTTTTTGTTTTAACTCCAACTCAGCCTTTATATGGCTCATTACAGTACAGTACAGATGTTGGACAGTTTTTTTTGGCATTTACAAGTCATTAACGGTTGTCAACAATAATATTATGGATATTCTGACATTGTATGACATCTGTAAAAACAGAGAAAAGTTGTAAATCTACAAACGATAGTAGCTGCAACATTTTTAAAGCTTAGATTTTGTGTCCATACATTTGGGTTCAGCAAAGAATTGTTTGTCTGTCCTTTCTGAACTGGCCTGCCAAAACTCACCTTTGAGCTGATGTATGGTTTGTGGAGAGAGCAAATAAAGTAGAAGAAGGAGGATGATAGGGGGACATTCCACATAAAGCAACCTGCCTCCAGCCATAAACTCTGCCTGTCCAAATCTCATTTCCCAACAGTGTTATCAGAGGAAAAATTGATGGTTGCATCCAGGCTACCCACACATAGTTCTATTTTAAGGAGTTGTTTTTATTGCAGAACTAATTTTACACCCCGTGGGATGCATTTATCAGGCTCTTCAGAGTGATGACACAATCAGTTTTTGCTTGAACAGAGCAGTTACACACAGCGGAAACTTTTGATAAATATGGTGCAGTGGGTGTTCGTGCGTGTCTTCATTTTTCAAATTTTGCATATAGTTTTGTGTGTGTGTGTGTGTGTGTGTGTGTGTGTGAGTGATCACACAGTGTTGCTGCTTGTGTTGTTCTCAGTCCATTGGCTGGGAGTTTGCAGGTATTGTTCAGGTGAGTTTCGTCTAGGATGGATGCGGTATGAGGAGAGGGCTCGTCCTGTCACTAAGAGCATCAGGGTGACGGTCAGTGTGGCTGCCCAGCTACTGGCAGGGAGACCTGCCTGCACAAGAGCACAGGTCAGACAAAACCGCTTACAATAGATGTTCAGGTAAGTATCAAGAATGATGGAGCACAATAGGACAATAGCACAAGTAAAAATAAACATAAAACAACTAAACATGTTTATAAGTATTTTGTAGGTCCTTGCCTTGGCCAGACTTTCATAAAGTTATTATTAGAAAGCTACCTACATGGGGACTGAAGCATGCATGTCCTTAAATAACATATTTAAAAAACAAGAGTCTTTATGCATACCCTATTCCAGTGATTGCAATATAATGCAGGATGTTTCATGAATTTAATTGTATTGACATTAAACTAAAGTGATGGGTGTTTGTTCCACTTATAATGTGAATAAATGAAATATCATTCCCAAGTGATGGAATTTATAAATCATCTATCAGCTATATGAAAGACTTTGATGCTTTCAACCTTAAGTGATCATTTTCATACTTATTTAAACATATAGTTAAGGTCAAAACTATTAGTCCCCAAGGAAACATGAAGCATTTTCTTAAAATTCTGTCCAATGTTAACATCTTTCATGAAACTTTACAGAGTAAAGCATTCATCAATGTAATGGTCTTCATTTGGTACATTTTAGAAAATGCACCAAATGGGGATGTACCAAATGGGGACCTTGGAGATTGAAAAATCTTCAAGACTGCTGTGTAATATGTGTATTGAAAATTGGGATGGTCAAAAGTGTAGGCCACCATGTGATTTTTTTTCAAGAAAATGTAGCAAATTGAAATTTACAGCTTTTAAATACCAAACACCTAAACCCCATCTGACTTGATTGGCACAATCAATCAGCACTGAACTCTACTAAATGGACTGCATGAAATGAACAAGGCTAGTGGCACTTGGAGGCTAGATTGAGAGGCACCACTCTTACCACTTGTTAGAAACAAACCTGGGCATGCTCGCTAGTGCAAGATATCAAAGCCTCTCAACAAGAATGCTTGGATCTCTGCATAAATGACTATTGCTGAACTGGCATCTTCTGGACTTGAAGTTTCAGGAAAGACTGTTTTGAGGGCTCTTCATCATGGTGGGCTTTGAGGTCTTCTCCCGAGGAAAACTTCATTGCTCACACAGTGGTACATCAAAGCAAGACTGGAGTTTGCTTGTAACTATTTGAGGATGACTTTGGGAAGACTTTCCTTTGGTCTCATGAGACTAAACTTGAGCTGTTCAGGCACATGGATGTTGCTTTTATTTGGCAAAAGAAGAGAGAGGCCTTCAATCCTAAAAACACTGTGCCCACAGGTACACATGGTGGTGGGAGCTTAATGATGTGGGGCTGTTTTGCTGCTTCAGGCACAGGGAACCTTCGGCCTCATTCACCAACTGTTATTAAGAAGATCATGAATCTGATGTAGCCTTTCTTTAGGATCTTTCTCAAGAACAAATTTAAGAAAAAGCTTAGGAAGATATTGGTGAATGAGGCTGCTTGTTCAGGTGCATGGGGACATGAAGAAAGATTATGTTGATATTTTGAAGGATAATGTGAAGAAATCTGCTGCCAGCCTAACTTTTGGTCACCGTTAGGTCTTCCAGCAAGACAATGACCTGAAGCACATCCAAGTTGGTCCATAACTTTTTTGAAGGACACTAAAATCAAGGTCCTGGAGTGCCCTCTCAAATCCCGATCTCAATCTTATTGAGAACCTATGGCGGGAGCTCAAGGTTAAGATCCATGCTCGAAAACTATGATTTGGTGATTTGGATGAGCTGCAACAATTTGCCATGGAGGAATGAGCTAAGATCTCTCAAGAGACGTGTGCCAGCCTAGTTAGGAACTACAGTAAAAGGTTGCTGTCAGTTCAGAAAGGTTATACTATTGACTATTATTGTCAGAGGTCTAATAAATTTGGCCTTGTCATGTTTGTTTTTTCATGTTTCAACTCAGTAAAATATCTTCATCAAACTTCATGGAGATTTTGTCTTTGTTCATTTGGAAGTAATTATACTGTAAACATTTTTGGTACTGGTCATTTTTTGGAAAACATAGGAAAAAAGAGTTTTGTTTGATTTAATAAAGGGGGCTAATAAGTTTGGCCTTAACTGTATGTAAATACCAGTGGTTATTAACGCATGAAAAATCTATACTAAATGCAGAAAACCTTGATTGAGAGCAGAAATCCTCTATCAACATTTCCATGTGAGAATGACTTGCTTTTGAATGTACCTAAGTATTAAAAGTAAATGCTCCTACTACAGTTATTTTTGTTATATTATGCTGATGAACAGTTTCTTATAATGAGACCTGTGTGACATAGAAAACAGGGTTAGTGTAGCTATTTCTTTCATTGTTGCATCCTGTTACATTTTTCAGTGCTATCCACAGACAGAGATTTTTCTCCTCCACTTACTTCCCAACATAATCCCATAAGTTATCAGTGAGATTCAAAGGGTCTATATCCTACATTTTTTCTGCCATTTTCTTTTTCTGCCTCAGGTCTGGGGTCCACAAACGTGCCTGCACATCCAATTCAGTTTTTCTATATATCACTGTTGTCGGAACAAAACCTTCTCCAAAATGATAACTTACAGAAGAAGGAAAAAAACATACTTTACTTTTAATGTAAGTCAGTGGAACCAGTGTGTTTTCCAAGTAATTTTGAGCAACTTCTTTTGGTCCATTTGTCATGAATTTTACACACAATGTAAAGGGCCACAGCTGTTTTCAAATTATGTCAAAAACTGAAAAACGACAAAAATGGAGATTGAGGTTTTGTTCAGACAGCCTTGATATGCTTCTCTGTCTTTGCAATAATACAGCACAGAAATATGGTTCAAACATTTAGTGAATCTGTAGAATCGCCCTTTCCATTCCATCTAATCACGAGATCTTACGTGACTCACATCTGAACTTATGAGGCTATGAAGAGGGGTTGATACATGTCATCTGCCTCTTACTGTGTTTAACTGGTAAATTCGTGTGTCCATCTACATTTTGTGTGAAACTGACAAATGGACACTCAGGAAATCACTAAGGATTTACACACCATGTTCAAAACCTTTCATTATTTATTCAGTTGGCTTCGGAAACACATGTAAAATGGTGTGCTACCAATTTGGTAAGTAGTGATGAAGATAACAGAGCATTTTGACATGAAACATTGGGTATCATTTTCTATGCCAGTGCTATTAAAGGTGAATTTAAGAAGATATGCAAAAATTAAGAAAATGCCCTTAGACCCCAGAGAGTTAAGTGAGCAGAGAGTATCGATCCCTATATCTAAATAGTCGATAAATATTAGTGTGTGGCATTTTGATATGCCAGCGTCACTTTTGTATTTGTGTGTTATGTGTGTGTGACAGAGAGTGTGTAGTTTGTGGACTCACATTTGCCAGCACATTGCTGAAGGCGATGTCTGCATATGAAGAGAGAAAAGCTGTATGAAAAAGAAAGAGTGGAGTTGATGATTAAAAAAATAACACGGCTAAGCAGGGCTTAGGGTTACCCTACAGTTTGTAGACCAGAGTTAGTCAGCCTGGAGAGGATGTGTTAATTTACTTTCACGTAGAAATCAATAAAATCAATAAAACATGTCATTTGACACACGTTTGTGTGCAACTAATAATTTTTGGCTTTCACATCTCCATAAATTTTGTGTTGTGCTGCAGGGTACAGGCCTAGAGACCAACTGTAAATACATTATGAAAAATGATAATGGTAAAGAATAAATGTATTTATAAAATATGGATAAATAAACAAACAACACTAATGAGGGAGAATAACATTGTGGATTACCACAAACGATAGCGAAGACATGAGTTCTCCAGTTCAAGCTGAACAGTAGTCCTCCTACAGCCATACAGCCCAGAGCTCCATTAAAACCTGTTAATCCTGAATACAGAGCGTCCCGTCGCACTGAAACAGAAAGCCCTGCAGAGAGAGAGAGAGAGAGAGAGAGAGAGAGAGAGAGAGAGAGAGAGGGAGAGAGAGAGGCTTCATATTACTAGGTTTTGATATTCATTGCCATAGTTTCATATAACATTGTCTTAGTTACTAGCTTTCAATTAAGATTCTTTAGGAAGCAATTCAATGTGTCATCAAATCTCAAATTTCACCACAATTTGATTCCATTATTTTGGCCCCATTCAGAATTCTTAAAAAAAATAAACAGAATATACAAATGTGACTGGAAGAAGAATCTGTACAGCGAATTATAGACAGAAAATACAGCTTTTAATGGACTTGTACATTTAAAAACAGCCTCAGATTTGTATTTTGCATTATTAATCATTATAATTGATACTAACATTCCAAATCTAATGTAGCTGATTCACCAGTGATGCATCACAAAAGAGCGATAGATTTTTACACCTCAGTTTAGTGTATTTGTGCTCTTCATTCTGATACATATATCTAATGAGTGTATGTTTCATTTGGAACAGTTACTCTGTAGCAGCAATTTGTGGTTGATGTTTAAGTTTTAGGCTACAGCGCTGATCATTGCCAGGTGGAGGCGCTGTATACTTAAGCATGATTTCCTCTTTCTTCTCTACACTCCACTGCTCATGATCAGCCTCATCCTCCTCTCCCTCTCTCTTCCTTATCACCCCACCCACAATTTAATTCTTTCTATCTCTCTCTCTCTCGCTCCCTCCCTTCTATCTTTCCAAACTGCACAACCTGAAGACTGTTAAATGTGTGAATGGCCCTCAGTCGCTACAGTGAAGCCTGTGAACATCCACACCCTGCTCTCTCTTAGACAGTTAGACATTAAACCTGAGGGTCTTCTTGCCACTCTAGCAGTTGCCAACAGTAGGAGAGTGTACTCACTCTAAGAGTGGATGATAAGGCAAAAATATAACATGAAGATACTGGAAGATATTTCATGATACACAATATATTGCACTATTTATTTTTCTGAGGTTTGCAAGCAAGTTGGAATGGACAAAATGCACCAGCAAAACAGCAGCGCATTTAAAAATGCTATGAATACCTACGAGTACAATATTTATTTTCATTCAAAATATGCAAAAAGAGAGTATTTAAGAAGGAACAGGAAAAAAAATAAACATTTGAGTAAAATCTGAGTAAACAAAATCTTGTAATGAGTAAAATAAGATAATGACATAATGGACCAGCATCCAATCAGCTTCTTGTTACTGAGCAGTTTATGCAGTTACTATGCAGTTACTGATTCCCATAATTGGTCCAAATGTATCTTTGTTATTACACATACAGTTGTTAGTTTTCTAGAAATACTGACAATGCCCAGTATAGATACACTCAGATATTATTATGCTATCAGCATACTGTGTAAGTAAATTAAAAATTAAAAATGATAATGTGATAACACATCATCTGTTGTCCCTTTAGAACAGTGTGAGAGTGCCACCCTCTCTCTCCATGCAGAGCAGAGCTTTATCTCATATCCACTACAGCTCTACTGACATTTTCCTCACACAGTCAGGAAATGAAGCTTGTAGCTTCAGACTGCAATCCTCCGGCTCCTGGGCGAAGCCAGACTATAATGGATGACTGCTGCAGACCGGTCTGTGTGGGGGCGTTCCTAAAGGATGCTTGCACAAATACTAAAGCAATAAGCCACTCGAGGCTGACTGTGCATTACATTGCATGGTAAAGGGGTCTTGTTAGGCACAACCCAAAGCAAATTAATGCCCCCCCCCCATAACCATGATAAACTCAAGCACAGCCTCAGGTAGTTTATTTCTTTTAAAAAAGGTGACATGGTAATACACACTAAGTTCAACACATCATGTAAATTATATTATTAATAATAATCATCTTAATCATTTTACCACCCAGCTATGTAGTTTGCTAACATTTGCATTTACAGCATTTGGCAGACGTTCTTATCTTGAGTAATTATATTCATGTTACATAGACAAGTGAATGTAGCATTAGGCATCTTCCTCAAGGACTTTTTTTGGTATAGCATGACATGCTTGCCTGAGGAATCAAATAGTGAGCTGTAGCTGCCAAGCAATATAATGGTCAAAGATTATTCCATAAACAGCATAATAGCTTTTAATGAAGGAGTGCAGTTTTCCCTACCTGATCCTCACGGCCCCCAGACAGTCCACATTTTTCATTTATCCATATTTGGTATTTGCAGAAGGCCAGTATCTGCAGATCTAAGATCATGTGTCAATGTAAACACACAGACATTCTGCGAGGTATGCAGGTGCTTTAAGACCATTTCAAGATTTAAAAAAGAGGAAAAGAACTTTAAAATCTATTCTAAGAGGTGCAGGCAGCCAGTGCAGTTCTTTCAGTCTTTTAATTACATGGCTTTTGCGAATAGGAAACTTCCACATCTACACAACTGCAAAAAAGACAGCACTGATAATATAGTGGAGAAAGGACACACCCTGTGCTCCTTCAGGACACTTAACAGACTGGCCTCTTCCTGTATTTTATTTTCCACCTCTTCTTCGATGTTCCCTCTGCTCTCTTACTCATGTAGAAGCATCATTTCTTGCTTAACGTCGTTAAGACTCGCGGGTTTTAATTGTGTTCTGTTGTAATCAGCGGTCTATTGTTAATGTACAGTGTCTTTTCACATAATGTGAATATCTACAGATGAGAAAGGAACTGTAAAATGAACAGATTATAATAGGCTGTTTGATTTAATTATTCCTGTCCTCACCCACTGTTTTCATGGTTAGCATTAAAGTGTCTGGAGCACAGGTGTAGGTCCTGCGTCTCATCTTCTCTGTCTCTCTCTCTCTCTCTCTCTCTCTCTCTCTCTCTCTTCTCTCTCTCTCTCTCTCTCTCTCACACACACACACACACACACACACGCATACACACACACATTAAGAGTTCCTGTTAGTACACAGTTATAATGAGTCAGTGTGTACCGCATCACTTCCCATGCAAATGCTATGAGTCATTCCTCTCTTATTCTATTAGCATTAATGCTGTCTCTTTCTCTCTTTCTCTCTCTCTCTCAATCTCTCTATCTCTCTCTCTCTCTCTCTCTCTCTCTCTCTCTCTCTCTTTCTCTCTCTCTCTCTCTTCTCTCTCTCTTTCTCTCTCTCTCTCTCTCTCTCTCTCTCTCTCTCTCTCTCTCTCTGTCTCTCTCTCTCTTGCTTTGTTTTATCTTTCAGTTTCAACAGTGCTTTATTGGTGTGAATGTTACAAGTCTCATTATAGCCACAACAATTCACAATAAATAAAAATACACGCTTAAAATGATGGTTCTTCAAGGGTTTTTTAGTAAATAAAATGGTTCTGTATAGAACCATGACCACTCAAAGAACCCTTTGCATGACTAAAGGGTTCTTTGCATTGTGAAATCGTTCTTCAGATTGATGGAGAATGTACTGTAGATGGTTTAGTATAGAAGCTTTTTAAAAAGGTTCTATATAGCACCAAAAAAGGCTTCTTCTTGTATTACAAGCTTGACATTGTAACAGTAGAAGAACCTTTCTTGGTGCTACACAGAGCCCTAAAAAAAAGCTTCTATACTGAACCATCTACAGCACATTCTCCATCAATCTGAAGAACGCTTTCACAATGTAAAGAATCCTTTAATCATGCAAAGGGTTCTTTGAGTGGTCATGGTTCTATACAGAACCATTTTCTTTACTAAAGAACTCTTGAAGAACCATCATTTTTAAGAATGTAGGAAAAGGAAGACAAACATAGCAATACACATAGAAATTGTTAGTGATCTATAGATGATCTACAGATGTTAAAATTGCTAACAAATCTAGTGAAACTGATAGCATTACATTTGTTAGGTTTAGGATTAGCTTTAGGTTTTGGGCTGAAGTTAAGGTTGGGGTTAAGTTTAGAATTAGATTTAGGTTCTGGATGATAAAAGGTTTAGTTTAAGTTTAAAAAAAGGTGTAGGTTTTGGGTTGAAGTTAAGGTTAGGTTTAGGTTTAGGATTAGCTTTAGATTATAGGTTGAGGTTAGGGTTAGGGTTAAGTTTAGAATAAGGTGTGGGTTTTGGGTTGAAGTTAAGGTTAGGGGTTAGGTTTAGAATAAGGTTTAGGTTTTGGGGCAGGTTAAGGGTAGTTTTAGGTTTGGGGCTAAATTATTGTTGTAGTTAGATTTAGATTTAGGATTGGACTTAATAAAATCTATTACATATAACATCATTTCAGATGTATTCCATAAATATTTGGTCAAATGTTAGTTAAAGACAAACTGAGGATCTGCAAAGCATCTACAGTCGACTCTCAAACAAAGTGTTATAAAAGAAGGTATTTACAGTATTATTCATTATTTATATGGACAGAATGAGTTTTTCTTAAATAAGTTGATGCTTTGCCTCACTGGTCATCCCTCACGTTTCTCTCTCTTCTTCTCGTTCTCTCTGTAGCCAAACAGTTTTATTGTTCTTATTTACATTTAAACATGAAGGACGACTCCCTCTGAAGTGCCAAAGTCTGACAGGTATTTGCATATTCAGAATGTAAAATGCTGTTGAGAAGGCTTATATAACCCATACCGCATATGTCATCTGATGTCAATAACCTACATTATGCATCTGTGCCCTAGTACGGATTCATCTCCTTTTTATCTTCAGCATCACCATGGTGACGGTGTTTGAGTGTGTTTGTGTTCGTCTGTTCACCCCGAAACCGGTTCCAGCTCTGGAGAGTTTTATATTTGTTCTAAGCCTAGTGCCTCCTCAACTCTCCAGGGAATTCATTACTTGCACAGATAACTGTAACACACAGCCTTCATAACATTAGAGGATTATGAATCTCTATTTCTACACCTCACTATAGTCATATCACTTTGGTTCACAAATTTATTTGAGTTGTACTAAATGTTTCACTTTTAACGTTTCATCAGCTCAGAATTCTAAGGTTTTAACTGTGTTCAGTGCAGTTTTGAGATAATGAGATTTTACTTTCAAAATAAAACTCTTAAGTAGTACCATTCACTCACAT